ATTAGATAATTTTTAGCATCACCTCTTGTGAGCTGGAAGAAATAAAATCTTGAGTGTGAGAGAAACTGATTTTTTACGCTTGGCAGGGGATGATCAGACACCTATAGTTTATTAAGTAGCGAGAGCAGGAAGAGCCATGCTGTTGAGAGCGAACCATCAGTTTGGAGCATAAAGCGCAGTGCACAGAAAGATGCATTTCTGGACAAGCACAGCTGGAAGAACAGGGTTTGTCAGAGTTCAGCGTGCAGTACTGAAGATGTCAGACACCTGGACCATTCTGGATTATTTTCTCCCCCATCACTACCGCCATGATCCATCTGAGGTCATGCAGAATGTGCCCTGCTGCATGGCAGGTGGGCAGCACAGCTGATGCTGCTTAGCAGATTATAATAATTTCGTCATCGTTGACGAAAAACAACAATGCTTGATTGATGTTGCCAACGTAACTTCCGAGAACTTGTGTTAATTAGACCTCAAAATAAAGAAACCAAATTCCAAATACATTTAATAGTGCAATGAAAAAGTCAAAATAATTTCCCAAAATATAAAAGTTGTATAAATTGTGTGAAGTATTTTTAATACATTTTGTAAAATCTCCCTCTCGACACTAGTGGATGCTGCAGCACTGCCAGCGCCCCAACGTCCCTAGCCATGGATGAGGCCTTCGTCAGCTCTTTATTTCAGCTCTGCAGGAGCTAAGCTCAGTCTCTTCAATGGTTTGACAAATACATCAAAAAATGTCAAAATATGTGAATTTGGGACATCTGTTCTCCGCCATGCTTGTTGTTAGCATGTTCTTGTGCTAAATGAAAATTAGCCGCTTATTCTGTCATTTCCAATTTTGACTTCCCCCTCTGGCGGTTAGGAAAAATCCACAGAGAAGTGGCACCTTCTTATAAGCCGCATGGTTCAAAACATAGGAAAAAAGTAACGGCTTATAGTCAGGAAAATACGGTGCTTCAGCTAACATTGAAGTGGCAATATTCCCAATTTTTTTTAGATGTGGAGAAAAATAAATAAAACAAGCTGGTAAATGTATAAAAATGAACAATGTGAATTTTATCACATCTTTTTTAATGTTGGGTTTCAAATCCTGTGTTTGCAAAATCTTAGCTTTAATACTTTCACTTATTCTAATCCCTATGATTTTCTGGATAAACATCTAACGAAGAGTATTGTTATTATTTTTTTGTCTTGTAGGGTTGAACTTGAGAGGCAGCCATCTCTGGAAGATTTGCACTGCACAGGGTGACCACCTCTCATAGAGCACCTTGAAATCAGAACCTAAAGCTTGGAAATATAAAACAAGCATGTGGTACAACATGTAGCCTAACTGGGGACAGACATTGAGAATTAGCCTTAGCTAAAATGTTATAGTGTGTGACATGATGCATGAAACATACTTGTCCCTATCAAATAAACGAATAAATAAAAAATGTTTCAAACTTAAATGTGTGTCACTGATATTCTTCAAAGACATTTTTTTTTATGTGGGTGTGTCGGTGGAACAGGAGCAGCAGGAAACTTCTCTGCTCGCTATCTGATAAGGAAGCAATTTTTATAGTTTCCTTGCTTGCTCACCAGTAGTGCTGCAAAGATACGGTCCATTATATGAGCTGAACAACAAAATCATTCATGAACCAGACACACACATGCATCTCTGCCTGTGGCAGGTACTAACATTTAATCTTTCTCTGATATGTGAACAAAGGGACAAAAAAAATACTGAAGAATAAGATTGTAGTAAACAGATCCCACTTTTCAGGGACAACAACACAAGCATGAAGGAATTATTCACACTTGCAGCTTTGCAGAAAATTTTCCCCTTACCTTGTATCACTTATTAGTAGATAATACTCGGGGAAAAAAATATAAAAGTGAAAGGCTGTGTAAACTAGAAGAGATCTGAAGCAAAGAGCTTGCCGTACAGCAGGACGGTCCTGGGTTCCAATCCCAGTCTGAGGTTTTTCCGCATTCAATTTGCATATTCTCCCTGTGCATGAGTGGGTTTTCTACAGGTACTAAGATTTCCTAAAAAAAAAAAAAATGAATGTTTGATTAAGTGGTTTGTCTGAATTGCATGAGTGTGTATATCTATGTTTATTTTAGTTCATCCTGGAAGGATAGTTCACACATTTGGAAACTTTAAAGAACAAAACATTTAAGCTCCAGTGAGAAGCTTGTGATAAATGGACAGATTCTTGATTCCTGTATTCAAACTTTCTAAGTGGGTGGTTAAGACTGAACAATTGTGGAATGTTTTCTCATATGACCATTTTCCCTGATTTCTTTTTAATGCCATATCTATTTTTCTCTGTCATATGTTAAGTTTTTCTCAAATATGTATTTGAAATATGTAGATGTGTGCAACCTTTAAAGCTTCTGTGTTTTGCCTGAACACAGCCAAGGTAGTCTCTTTGTCTTATTATTACAGAGAAATGTAAATAGCTAATAAAAACTCTGATAAGGGTAAAACAATGACGACAAGGCATTGAGAAAAAGTATACCACCGATTATTCAAAATCATTTATTCCTTAAAGATAAAGATAGGTCTAAAGCTGATAGAAGTATGATAAACTATGTCACCCACAGTTGAATAATTTTACTTACTACAAGAAGACCAGCCAAACAACACAGGAACTAAAGTGTGTGCCATGACAGTAAGCACTCCATTACTCCTGCCAATTCAAATTAAAAGTTGAACCCAAGCTGATCCACATAACCACTGGATGTCTGGTGGAATTCAGTTAGGGACAGCTGCCATAATACACTTGAAAAGAGAAAAAAGAAAATATATTATATTATTATAATGTTAACAAAAATTAAGGAGGTGGTTTTTAAGGTCCATATGTCCTGCACACATTGCAGCCTTTGATTTGACCATGAAAATCCTCTATATGAAATGACAGGTGGCACACAGTGCCTACAAAAGTATTGGGACCCCTTGACCTTTTTTGCCTTTTGTCACATTTCAAGCTTCAGACATTAAGATGTTAAATACATTTTTTTGTGAAAAATCAACAAATTGGACACAATCTTGTAGTGGAATGAAATTTCTGCAATATTTCAAACTTTTTTAGGAAATAAAAAACTGAAGTGTGTAAAATTATTCTGCCCTCTTTAGTTAATAGTTTGTAGTGCCACCCTTTGCTGCGATTACATCTGCAAGTTGTTTGGGGTTTGTCTCTATCAGTTTTTCACATTGAGAGGTTGAAATTCTTGCCCATTCTTCCTTGCAAAACAGCTAGGTGAGGTTGAATGGAGAGCGTTTGTGAAGAACAGTATTCAGTTCTTTCCACAGATTCTCGATGGATTGTGACTCATTATTGTCCTATGGACAGGGTCTCCCACCTCAGCTGTAGATCTCTGCATTTCATAACTGACTAACACAACTAACATTGTGAATCTAAGTATTCTACTATTAAGCTTTATGGCATTAGATTTGTAACAGAAAGACAGTATAGAAAGGAAAACAGATTAAGATCATTCTATATGACAAAAGTGTCCATCCTCGTTGTTTTACAAAACATAAATAATGTATTTTCCTCACTGCGTATTTTTATCTTCACGTCCTCCATCATCATCTGGTACGCTGGTGCCACCACAAAGGACATGGGTAAACTGCATCGTGTCATCCGGTCTGCAGAGAAGGTGACTGGCTGCAATCTTCCTTCTCTCCAAGACAATGGCGTAACAACCCAATAGGCCTGTAAGCAACATTATCTGGGTGGGCCACATATGAAGTACAACCCCTCATATCCACCCCACCATAGACAACTGACCCGAAATGTGCCCCTTACATACACACCTTATCATTTCATCATTCTTCACCTTCAATAGACATTGATATACTTTTGGATATTCGGCTGTAAAATGAGTCTTATCTGGCTACCTTCAGCTTCACAGTTCCCCTCCTCACCCACGCTCTCTCCATTCATCTCCTAGTCACAATCTTTACTCACTGTCGCAGCAACGTCCCCCATTCCCTCTTCGGTTTTTTGAAAGAAAGTGTTTATTTAGTGAAGTTTTTTCCGTTCTTCCAGCAGCTCTTCATTGTTTTTTCTTTTTTGGACTCTGCTTAAGTACCTCATTTTGGCATCCATCGTCACTAACAACACATACGTAACAGTTATGCTTTTAATCTACGCTCTGGATTACCCATAATTCCAAGTCGCACTGTAAAATATAAAATACTAAAATATATTGTTCTTTTAAGATCTTTATGGCGTTTTGAAACATATTATATGAGTGTATTTTTTACCAACCGTCTAATGAATTATACAGTTATTAACATTGTAATTAAAAGTACCACTGTCTGCTTTGCTGTTGGTGTCATGTTTAAACGGCTCACTATCATGATGAAATCTGCCATGTGTTGGGGTATAAATAAGGTCCGGTCAGTCAATGTAGTATCAGGTGGGTTTGAGAGGAATTTTTCACAGTATTACATCTGCAAATAGACGTCCTAGTCCTCAATTGCATAGGGAGCCAACTAACTGTCAGTGACGGGGCCCCTAAGAGGCCAGGGGCCCCTAAGCAACTGCAGTCTCTGCTTGCCGATAGTTACGCCATTGCTCCAGGATCTGTATGCCTCCAGGACTCTGAGATCCGCTACCAGCCTTATCAACAAGACCCAGAGACCCCCGTGACACTGACACTGCATCTCTCCCTCCCCTGTTCAGGACCTAGAAGCTACATTAATGTAGCATCTCCAGACCTCCTGTGTTACATTTAGGCACAGTCTACTGTGTATATATTATATTGCTATATACTATATATTGTATGTTTTATATTGTGTGTAGCTATAGGTTCTATATCTAATTTGTCAAATTCCTTTTAAGTGTAAACCTACTAGGCAGTAAACTTTGATTCTTATTCTTTAGATAAAGAAAACATAGTGGATTCATTAGCAAAGATAATTTCTATCCACTAGATGTCGCAATTTCATCTGTATTTCCCCACACCCGCCCACAGGCGCCTTCTTCTTGCTTTCGGTTGAATAGTCACGTGACACTGTTGTCAGCTAGCAGCATGGCGGACTCGCATGTGGAACCTCTTCACAAACTGCATTTCTTATCCAGCTAACCCCACTGACACAAATAAGCTAAAATAAAACAAACATCTGAAACGCAAGTGACGCTCGAGAAGACGGCAGAATGGAGGAGCAAAACAAACTGCAGTTTCCGTCTCTGCCTGCGACCAAGGAGGAGCTTTTGGTGAGCCCAGCCTCAGCAGCTAAGCTAAGCTAACTAACTGCCTTGTTGTCCGAAAAAATAGAGAAAATAGACACTCAGGCTTTTTGTGAGACTTTGTGCAGATATGACAGGGTGGTTTTTATATTCAAAGCTCAGATTTATGTTGAAAATATGGGAAGTTTGATATATTTCTTGACTGAGTCAACACTGTGAGGCTAGCTAGCATTAGCCACGTATGCACAGGTCAAAATAAAATTGGGATTAATGATCTCCTCCGGGTAAAACTCTCTTATACATTTGTTGTTACAGGACTGGGCTTATCCGATGAGAAGAGAAATGCAGGTATGTTAGATTACTCTATTTTGGATATCTTCAGGAGTTTCCCCTTCAGTACAAGTTTTGTTATTTTATAGGTAATATCAAAACCACATTCATATCTCAGTTCATCCCTAAAGTACTCAGATCAGACATTTTAATTAAATAAAAAAATTAGGTAATTGATCCGAAAGGGAGGTTAGTATATTATGGCCACCTATTTATTATTGGTTAGGTCCTTGATGTATTATCAATAAGACATTGAGAATACTGAAACAGTTTATTGTTAAGTGCAAGTTGGGCCGTCCATGGATCCTAAAGATACTCAGTTGGAGTGACTTCTGGGGAGTTCTTGCTTCTCAAGTAATTCCCAAACCATTTTATCATTCTGGTAATGTGCATTATGCTGCAGCATGTGGTCATGTGTGTTCATCCAATGCCTTTTACTAATATTAGATTGGGTTTCTGGGCTCATTGAAAACAAGGAAAGCCAGGTAAAAACAATCATCGCCCAGTATGGATTTAAAGCTCATTTTGCATGTTCTGGTTCTGCTTTATGGTAACTACCAGTTGGGCGTGCCTGGAAAATCTCCCAAGATAGACTTCTAGATAGCATCCTAACTGGATGCCTGAACAATGTAATTTCTCTCTTGATATGGAGAAACTCTGTGCTGCTCCTGCTCGACACAGCTTCTCATCTCTTATGGTGAGTCCTGCCGTCCTGCAGTGGCTACAATCCAGAGCTTGTGACCTTGGCTAGACTGGGAATGCAGACGGACCAGTAAATCTAGCATTGCTCAGGTGTTTTATAATCAAGGATGGACTGAAGTAAATTCTGCATTACTGCATATACGTCAACTACTGGGATAATTTCTAACATTGTTTAGAGTAGGAGTTACAAGGAGCCACAAAAATACTCTAGTAAAATGTATTTTTTTTTTGTCATTCAGTCCTAGGTTTTGCTTTCTGTTAAGTTTAACTGTAACATGTGTTAAATAGATTTTACAGTCATCTGTGAAGTTAAACACGGTAACTTATTTTAGTCAAAGTATTTTTTTTATTTATTTGTTTTTGAAATGTTTTGTTTCTGAGACACAAACGACTACTCCAACGGACCATTAAAGGTACAGTGGAGGATTTTTGGGAATTTTTGAAAAGACCCACCCTCTCCACTTAAAAAAAAGAAAAATGCACATGCACAACCCTGTACCCGCTCCTGATATGGAATGTCTAACGCTTGTGAGAGCGTGCACAAGTGTGCATGCTGTTTAAAAGTTGCTGTTTGCATCGCTCATACAAGCTTACTTTCGAAAAGGAGATCTTCAATGTTTCCACTTTGTCAGAATTACCACCGGTTGGTGAAAACGGGGACGAGAAAGTAGGACAGCCTTACTTAAACATATCATCAGAATGATTGACAATTAGGAGGACCACTTATTTTGATGATCCACCTGGAAAAAGAAACTTCACCACTATGCCTTAAACAGATTTTGATCCTCTGTGATTGATGCTGCTTTAGAACTAGGGCTGGGGAATGTAACAAAAATACATTTTTAAATCGTAGAGACACTGATTTTTAATCACACTATATAAAACAAGGGTAAGACACTAAATTTCTCCCTCCAGCCCTTTGAGTGGTGATTAAATGCTTGAAGGGGTTTTGTCTCCCCCTGAAAGATGGAGAGAGTTGTAGCTAGCATGTAGATCCATGTATGCAAATAGAAGTAAACACTTTTTACACAGTGGTTACAGTAAAGTCCTGTAATAATGGACTCTGGGCAAGCAAGCTCTGAAAAAACCTGTACAAGCTTGGGGTTAGTGCAAAGGAAAATCTGAATAAAATTGTAGTTTTGGTTAAAAATAATCGCAATTAAAATTTTTTGGATAAATCGTTCAGACCTATTTAGAACCTGTTTGAACACTGGATAATACAATCTGTAAATAATACAGGCCTCAACTGACTTTAAATGTTTTTAATTTAGTTTTAGTGTTAAAACCAGATTCTAATCCCAACTGGAGCTGGGTCTTTTTTCCTTTAAACTCGCTTTAAACGAGTTGGGAAGTCTGTGTTGGCAAATAGCTGCAGATACTTGGATCTATACGTTGACCTTTGTAGGGAATTTACAGAAGCTCTAAAGTCTAATCGCCTTAAGCCATAAGTTATAGGTTTATTGCACAGTTTTTTTTCCCTATCACAGCAGGAGTATCTTTCCCATCTTCAGTAGCTGTTCTGAAGAGCCGTCATAACAACTGCAATGGGAGGGGTTATGGCTCAGTGTTTTGATGTGATTTTTCTCTGCTTTGGATGCCAAATATTAAACGCACGAAAAGACATCGAAGAAGAACAGCTTCTGTTAGTGGAGTTGGCAAAAAGACCGATTAACCTTTCGTGGTAATTGTCCAAGTTGTTCCTCGGTTTTTAAAAATGGCGCACCCCGGCACTGAATCGAGAAGGACGACAACGCAGACAGCCGGAAAGGCATACCAAGTAACAATCACAGCTGCTTTTTGTCTGCGCTCTTCAGCCTGAGGTCTACGTGGGTTTATGACCGTCCGGCATGTAGTCTGGATTTTTTTTTAAGGTGTGCGACAATGTTTGCAGAACCTCTGCATGGGGGGGCGTGGTCGCTCAGAGACAGATTTGACGGTGGAAGAGGCTATGCGTCAAAAGCATAAATTGGCCTTTAGTCTGTTGTTTGGCATGTTGCCATTTCAATCATGACTGTGCTTGTGTGGCTTCCTCAACATGGCTTCCTTCCTTTGGTCCTTTAGTGTAGTTGCTGTATGGTGTCTTAGAAACAGGAGTCTGAGCAGTCCTGGCTACACCGGGCCTCATAAACCATGCCGCTCAGCTTTGGTTTGGCTGTTTGTATTTTAGTTTAACTGTTGATTTCCCCCATTAAGCATTGAAACATGTTTGGAAAACAGCTAAAAGTCTGGTTGCCTCCAGTTTAAGGCTGTTTTCTTAACACTAAAATATATTCTAGAGAACAGAACCTTCTTGGCCACATTCTGGAAATGCACCTTATCATCCTATGTGGTCCTATATGGAACTCTGTCATCAATATGACTGAAGTGAAAACTAGACCCACTTGTCAGTAGTTGTAATTATATGCCTGATCAATGTTTTTTCTTCAGTTGGAAAGCTGATCATCCAGAACTCTCTTCTAATTGTTTATCAGTAAAATCATTTAATGCCAGCTTTTATTTTTGTTGATCTGAAATAGTTTTCTTGTAAACGTGATTTTTGAGAACCAGAAATATTATTATTTCACCCGTCTTGTGACATTACTACCAAGACTGGATCATGTGCTGTCTTTGCTGATTTCCGTGTCATTGTATATCTCTGTTTAGGAGATTTTACCTGGACTGTTTTTAGGGCCCTACTCTGCTGCAATGAAAAGCAAGGTAAAGCCACCAGGCGTCATCCTCTGTTATTAAACCGGCTTATCTAAAGGTAAAGAACTCATCCTCCTTTGTTCCACTCACTGTTCTTTGTTTTGTCTTCTTCTAGCTGCCAACTCTTGAGAGACACGGCATAACACATATTGTCTGTGTCCGTCAAGACATTGAAGCCAATTTTATAAAACCCAATTTCTCTCATAGATTTAGGTAAGAGCAAATTAAACTAAAATGCTTAGAACACCAATGTTATATGTATTAACCGAGTCTAATTTCATAAACGTTCCTTCTTGCAGATATCTTGTTTTAGATATTGCTGACAATCCAGTAGAAAATATAATTCGTTTTTTTCCTATGGTAAGTTACAGATTAGGATTATAATCTGTTTGGAAACATTGTTTACATTATGCTGCCTTTTCTATTTCCTTTTGTAGACTAAAGAGTTTATTGATAGCTGCTTGGCAACAGATGGTAAGGATCATTGCTGCTTTATTAGGTTTAAATGTTTTCTATTTTAATCAAACATTTCGTTCTGCTCCCGTAGGAAAGGTACTTGTTCACGGTAACGCAGGGATCTCGAGAAGGTGAGATGTTTTCTAAAGTTAAAAGGTGCATTTCAGCAAACTGCAGTAGAGATAATGTTCTTTATCTCTTCTTCAGTTTATTTCACTTTTTTACTGAACAATAAAAACTCATAATGGCGTAATTTAAATGGTTATTTCTGCTATTTGTTCTGATTAAAGTTTAATGTTAATAGAAAATATGTACAATAGAATTGTTTTATTTATTAAAAGATTGATATTTAAAAGAAGATTTGTACCTATTAGAATTTGTGGTACATATTAACTTACTAAAGGTTGTTTTTTTTTTAAGTCAAAATGAAATGTTATCAGCTGTCACTGACTGAGTTACACTGTGTTTACTTCTGTTTAGTGCTGCCTTAGTGATTGCCTACCTTATGGAAACATTTGGGATGAAATACAGGTAATTGTTTCCTGTCCTTGCAAACATTTTTTAAGTAAAGCAGTAAACAACCCAGATTTTTAGGGTTTAAAATGCTTTTTAGTAATTTTGAGGCTGTGGATTTAACTCCCTGCAGGGATGCATTCAGCTACGTACAGGAGAGGAGATTCTGCATCAACCCCAATGTTGGTTTTGTCCACCAACTACAGGTGAGGCTGCAGAGAAAATGAGCTTTAGAAATAAAGCTGCTCCAGTTTATCATTAAGAGAAGAATAAATAAAAAGTATCCATGCAAACAGCTGGTAGGTCAGCATACTCTAGAGCAGTGGTTCCCAACCTTTTTTGACTTGTTTGTCCCTTTGGACATTTTGTCTTTCCATGAGTATCCCACTCAGTCAAAAGTACTGATGACTTTCCAAATGTGGAACGTATAATAAATTATTATAAAATAAAAAACTATATTACTTAATTTTTTTATTTGAGCATGTAATTCTTAGGCATTTTATTTTTTCCATCTCAAATAAAAACATAAATATGTTTCCTTGAGGTTAGTAAGGAATCGAAATAAAATCATATAAACCTGCATTTATAAAATTGAGTAACTTCCTTATAACCACATTTAAAATAGTTTTACTGTTTTCATTGAGATACCTGAGCTGCTTTCATGAGATCCAATAGTTTGGTGTGAAAAAGCTGATAACAGGCTGTTCTCTACATCCAGCCTGTTCCTCTGCTTGGTTACGGTTAGAGTTAGTCGAGTTGAAACATATAAGGAAAACCTTACTTTTTAGATTAGAAATGTTTCATTTTTAAATTTTATCATCAGAAAAAAAACGGATCACAGCTCTATTTTATTTTACTACCCAAGACATAAAATATTTTCTTTATCACATAGTTATAAATAAATTTGTCATACTGATTTAACTGTAGGTAGTTTAAAGTACATTATATATTTAGATTTATGAATCCATACATTGCTAAACACATTTAGAAGCATTAGAACAAGAAATATGTTGGATGTCATTAAGCCGAATGATTGCTGTCACCTTCAGCATCGAGTTAATTTTGGCTGTTTTTGTAGGAATATGAAGCAATCTATCTGGCCAAATTGACCATTAAAATGATGTCACCGATGCAGCTGGGCAGGTCCTTTTCTCTACAAGCTGGAATGCCAGGTTGGTTTAGGATTACCTGCAAATTTATTTCCTGTCTCTGCTTTGAAGAAATGTACCAGTTCTGGCGAAAATGCATGTTTTTCTTTTGTTTTTTCCATTTAAGTTCTTTCAGCACAAAACATTACTTCCTATTAAAACTGCAGTGCATTAAAAGTTTCCTCTGTTAAACAATGATAACTTTGTTATGATTATACAATGAAAAGGGATGTTATGGTATTCTTTATGGATTTAAAGTATATAAAAAAAAATATACCTTTCACTATATTAACAAATTAAATCAAATAGTCTTTAACTCATGTCTCTATTTAATCTCCACTAATAGGTAGCCGGAAACGCAGCCTGGAGGAGGATGAAGATTTTGGAGCAATGCAGGTCACTGCAACGCAGAACGGCTGAGCTTTACAGACTTGAAGCTGTGTGGCACAGTGCACTCTTTTTTTTTTTTTCATGTTTTTTACATTTTTAATGGGATTGAAAATGTAAATATTTGAACATTTTCTAAGGGGATGGGGAGGGGGGAGGGAGGGAGGCTGAGTTACTCATGTCTGAGACATGGAGTACTGAAGGTCAAATTGGATAGCTGTTTTTTTCTGAGCAAAATGCACTGATGGGAGTTTTTTTTTTTTTTTGCAGTTTTATAGTATTTAAGCATTTTGCATTTGCAGCGGGACAGTATTGCAATAATGCACTTTGAATACTTGAATTAGTAAAGAAGACCTAATTGGGGATATCTGCAAAAGGGAGCAGAGCCAAGATGTCGCCCAGCAGAGGAAGTAAGGAGTAGCTATGCCTTTATTTCAGGAGTGATACAGTCCTGAACTACTACAGCTTAATGTTTGGGACAGTCGAGAACAGGAAACTGCTAAACACTGCTTAATAAACATAAGTCCTGAGTACTGTACATATGTGTCCATTATTTATGTACATTTGTTTTAGTTGCCCAGGAATGGGTGGACTGCAGCATTTTTGTAATCAATCCTTTATGCTAACTCAGTGCGCAGAGTGTCTAAATAAATGTGAAAATTTGTTATTTAGCTCAAAGTGAGGCTGATTTGACTTTAGGCCTACAACTAATGATTATTTTGCATTTCAATTAATCTGATTATTTTTACGATTAATAATCGGATAGCAAAAGGTTCCTTAAGGAAGATTTTTTTTTTACTAAATTAAACATGGTGAAACTCAAACTTTTCCACTTGAAGTTCTGGATCGAGCATATTGACAGATGAAGTGTTTTGTCTTATATGCAAAATGTTTATATATTTTTACAAATATATAAAATAATTTTATAATTACTGCCATAAGTGCATCACCGTGAGCTATAGGCATATTTTAGAGTCTATACTCCAGTTGATGATTAATCGATTACTAAATTAGTTGATGATTATTTCAATAATTGATTAATTTGATTAAATGTTTCAGCCCTATTTGAGTTATTTTCATTATTGCCGATGGTTATCGCTTACATCAACCTCAAAATTAATATTTAAGGCCGATTTTAAAATGTATTTAATATACAACCTTGGTTGAAGATTGATTTGTGTTACCAAGCAGACTAGATTCACTATTGACACGGCGGGCAGGCACGTTTAAGTTGAAGGATGTGGCTGTCCGATGCGTCATACTGTATGATGTGAAAGTTAAGTGGAAAGAAAAAAGCCATCATTGGAAAAGCAGCCTTGAGACTTTTAAGGATAAGGCCATTTTAGAATAAAACAGTGATCCAAATGTCCAGTAGTCATGTTGTAGATGCAGTATTTCATAAAAGGAGCCCAAATTGTGCACTAGTGCATCTCTTTTGTAGTAAAGAGTTGCCGGTCAGTGTTCTGTGCTAAAATTCTCCAGTCTTCTTATATTCCGGTTTTCTAAGAAGCCAGAATTTATTCTTATTAGCTTTAAGCAAAATCATTAGAGACAGAAGTAAACGGTATGAATCAAAACTTTTTTTAATAAGATGCTTCCCCACATAACTGGCTGGTATTGTGTTGACATGTTAAACAGTAAATATGGATTAATTTCTATTTAAATACAACTAAAAAGCTTTGAGGCTGATGTGTGAAAAATGGTTTATTTCCCCCTTGTCAAGATCATTCATTGCATTTAATAAATAAGCGCATCCTGTGAATTTATGGTGCAGCTTCCTGACACTTATCTATAAAGCTGATCTGTTGGGTAATTTCACAGAAAAGTGAGAGAAGTGCTGTAGATCATAGAATATTTTATTGGATTAACATCTGGAAATAAGTTATTTTAAATATGTTCCCCAGAATAAAAGCATAATTATAAAACTGAACTACAAAATCTTAAATTAAAGTGAACTTTCAAAAATCACTTGTATTTGTTTCAGTTACAAAATGCTTAGTGCTAAATCCAGTTACCTAAAAAAGAAAAAAAAAAAGAAATTTTACATAATGCTTTTTAAAACATTTACCTGCTGGAAATGGTCTAACAGTCTTCCTACACCCTAAAACTTCATTCCCGGAATCCGACAAAAAACAGCTGAGAGAAAGAGCACTTTGTACCGAGCAGACAGACTAGAAAAGTGAAACCCAAATAAAACCCGGATATCATGGTAGTTCCTCGTGAACATCAGATAAAAGCGTTATATTATTGATGGTGACTTTAAATAATAATTTTTTCAAAATTCAATGCTTTTACAGGATTGTTTTTTCATACTTACAGAATAGCAGTCAAATTATGTTTGTAGTCCTTTTGTATTCAAACCGTAGTCCTTTTTTATATGAAAATAAGACAATACATTTGCATTTTTCTTAAGACAAAGGGAACAATACCATCAAATACCCACCCTGGTGAGGTAGCAGGGGTTACCAAAGGTGGGATTATGATGTCAAACTGGGCTTCCACGAACCGACTTGTTTAATCCTGTTCACAATTCAGATTTGTTGTCAGGTGAGATTAAAAATCAAACCCAGTCCCAGTACCACCTCCCCCCCACCAACAGGGCCAACCAGACCCGGATCCAACTTCTGATGTCATGACGAATGGTCCATGAGCCAATAACTGGTGGGGGCGGGGCGTTTAAGCTTCATCTCTCAGTCGAAGAATCTGCACTGCATGTAAGTCTCGTCTGAAGCGCTGTAGCCAAATTTTTGGTAAAAAGGTTTGTTTTTGGGAGAACACTCCAGAGTGATTTTATAGCAGTTCAGTTTTTTGCTGAGAAGTGTAAGCGTCGACACTAACCTGCAAGAAAAAGTAAATGGAGAAGAAAGGTGTGAGAAAAAGGTCATTAGTAACACAGCAGCTCTAAATCATCCAAACACCTCTGATAAAAAAGACCTGGTATTTTGGTATGAAAATTGAACTAAATCAAACATTTTTTTCCCAGAAATGAAAAATTAATCTGAAACACAAACATATATGTTGTGTTTCAGAAGCTGAAAGTGGATCTGATTGTAAAGAAACCTGGTCTGCAGCGTCTTTCTACAGATTCTCTTTTTCAAATTTAGTTCTAAACTTGTCCATTCCCAACTCCTCATGCAAAGTTCTTCTGTTCATTTGAACCTGTATGGTCTACTTCACTTTAGTTTAGTTTGAAACCGAAAAGCATTTCTTACTGTACTCAATCACCACTTGTTTCTAAAGAAAACCCACATTATGATACTGCCACCACGTGTTCATTGGCGCTGGGAATTATACAAGTATTGTTGTGTCAAAAATGATGTTTGGAAAGATGCACTTTTATGAATGTAAAAAAAAAAACCTGACAAAAAACCTTATAAATTAATATTTACTACATTTGTATATTACTGATAGTGGCGATTTTTCCTCATTAGTGAGTGCTGCAAGCAAGAAAAGGAAAAAACTACCAACCAAAGGGCTGCTTTCTAATATATGATAGTTTTAAATCCTTTCAGGATTGGTTGGATGGAGTTTAGCAATGTTTAGAAAGCTGTCAGCTTTGCATTGACTCTGTAAAATCCACTAATTAAACCTGGCACTGTGCCAGAATCTGATTACCGGTATGTACATTTTCTGTACCTCGTTTTTAGGTCATTTATCAAAGTGCTCCAATTTGATGAAGTTCAAATAATCTCAGATGTGGTTTGATTCCATGGGCCCGGTTCCTTTAATATTTCCTTTTAAAGGTCAATAAGAAAAAGTGGTAAATAGTGGATGTTTGGTATCATCAGCCTGGAGCTCATCCTTTCACAAGTTTGAGGGAGATCTTTACAAGGCATGTATGTTTACTATGGAAATAATATTGGTGTTTGGCAACTGTGGTCCAAACATGGGAATAAAACAGGAGTTTGTTTTCTCATGGAAACCAAAATCCTGCTAGCTCCATCAGTCTGCCACTAAGGAATGTCCCTATCAACTTCACATCTTTTTCACTCATTTTATAAAAATCTCTCCTTTTTATACCCCCTTTTATGTGATTAATTGTTTATCCTGATTTAATTTTTACATAAATATGACCTGAAATTTGGACAGGTTGGTGCGGACTAGGGGTGTAAATCACATCCATCATGGCGATTCGATTCAGTATCGATTTCCTGACCCAACGATTCGATTATTTTCGATACTTAAGAATACACCACGATTCGATTCGATTAATCGGTTAATTTTTTTTTTATTATTTTTTTTTTTTTTTTTACACCTTACAGGCTAAACAAAGTTTCAAGTTTGAAATAAATCAATGAAAGCTGTAATATCATTATGCATTTTCTTTAGAAACAACAGCAAATAACAGAAGTAGAAAAGTTGCATAAAAAAATACTGCAAAAATACTGCACAATATCAGTGTAATGAGTTCAATGCAATACCTCGGCTCCAGAGAAACTGTCCAACACATTTTTTTAGAATGTAATAAATATATTCAGGAAAGAGAGATGTTGTGTAGAGAGTTAGACAGGAATAAAAATAAACTAGATATAAGGGAATTGTTTCAAAGGTCATCTGGGGATGTAGTTTTTGGTAGTATTTTTAATTTTCTAAGAAGAACGGGTATTTTAGGGAGAATATAATAGTTTGTCTGGTCCATACTCCATTCTGGAAGGTGGCGGTAATGCACCTATAAGTTGTTTGCCAACCGCCATTAAAAAAAAGAAGAAGAAGAAGGCTCCAGAGTGTTGCGTCACCGCCCCCTTGAGAGACGCTCCGCTGCTCCTCTCCCAGATTGTAGCTGACCGCAAACAGTGCTGCAGACAGGAGGCCGGCTTGTTTTGTTTTTATGACTGAAATTGCGGAAAACAACTCGTGAAGTTTGACCCGCTAGAAGAGCGAGGTGCGCGAGAACGCTGGGAGCCTTTTTCCAGCTGGATCTTCGCTCTTTTTGCCCCATTGTCCCTCCGTCGTCGGACTAAACTCGTCCCCACTTCCTCTCCGCCTCGGCCGTATCTAGACCCACAGCGTGTAGCCCAGACCACGCTTCAATACTGAGCATAATTTAAAAATGTCTGTGTGAAGCTTGCTGCAACAAACTGCTGTAAGAGTATAACCAGAAAGCGCGGTAGGAGGGCAAAATAGGTTTAGCGGCACCGCAGCACGGGAGGGAGAATTACGCCCAGGAGCAAATGGATAAAAATAGACCGGAGGGAAAAAAAACTACATTAATCGATTCTCTTGCGGACGTGTCGATGCATCGGATCGTCGGCTTTTGGATCGATGCATCGATACAAAACGATTATTATTTACACCCCTAGTGCGGACTATTATAAACTACTTTAAAGATTGAATTTGCTTTTGGCTTTAAGTGTATTACCGGTACATTGCTTCATCTGCTGTAAAACTTAAAAACATAATTGTTCACCAGTATTTTTTTTTAATAAGTATGAAAGTTTTGTGGGAGTTGTCAGGTTTGCACAATCCTACTCACAGTTTCCCGAGCTGCTTCCCTCTGCACACATCACTGACAACCACCTCTTCTATTCGGCCCCTCTACAAATACAAAAAGCCAGCAGATCCTTATTTTTTACAGTTTTTACAAGCTGAAAATATATTTGTCTTGATTTTAAGTAAACAATATAAATGTATGTTTATTTAACAGTATTTGGTTACAAAACTAGGCCGACTATATATTAGCCTCCTAATTACCAGTGCATTAATGCGTAACTAATTGATGTAACTCGACATAAAGGTCAGTAAGTTTGTACCTTGGCACAGGAGTGAATAAATTTGTGTTCAATGATCAGCGTGGCAGTGGCAATAATTTGCCCCAGGTTTGTGTCTTCCACAACGACAACATAGTAGTCTCCCGTAGTCTTCATATGCTTGAACTTACCTAGAAACAAACAGAAAACGGGTCACTGCAGGTCTTTCTACAACGTGAGCTTTAATATTTATATTGTGACCGTCCCAAGGCTTTTCCCAGCACTTCTCACAGAGCATGGTCTCCTGTTTTAAACAGGGGCTCGTTTCTAAAACAGGAACGAGGTGGCGGTATCTCAGAACACCCTCCCATGTTATGTCTAAGTTTTGATTACTGTATGGGTTTGTTTAAACCTGCACAAAATCACATCAGTCACTTATTCCATTATATTATAAATAACAATGAATGGGATATATGCTCCTGTATGTGTTTATATTGCAGATGTCAGCTTTATACGTTACAGAAGAGTAGCAAGACTTACAGTCAAGAAAACTTTGAAATCACCCAAAGTTAAAGAATTTGCACCGTTAATAAAATGGCTTTTTTTTTTTATGGAACATTAAGTGTGACTTACTGACAAACTGCTCCGGTGTGACATCACCTGTCTTGGTAAGCTGAGATAGAACTTCAAAGAACCCTGGAAAACAATCCAGAAAGATAATTAAGAGAAAAATTACATCCAATATCTGATCAAATATTCAGATTGTGTACAATGGAAAAAAAATCAAAATCCAGATAAGTCATTTTTCTTAAAATAAGTGCATTTTGTTCTTGGATTGAGGATTTAAAAGAGACATCTTTCCAATGAAACAAGACAATTTACACTTAAAATAAGAAAACACAGTTGCATTGTCTTATTTCAAATGCCTATTATCTAATTATCTTATTTTAAGAGTAAAAATACTAATTCCATTGGCAAACTATCTAATCTACCTACCTCAAATTAAGGGTAAATACACTTAATTTAAGATTTTTTTTTATTCATTTATAGAATGTTTTTCCAGTGTAAATAAAACGTCATACATAAAGGTATAAAAACTCACCTTTATTAAAATCCGCCGTACACAGAGGCCTGAGCAGCAGGTCATCTCCTGGACTGGATGGTGAGATTGGGGGAGAGAAGGACACAGTGTTGCTGTTCCAGTCCAACTCCTGAAGCAAAGAGGGATCAAAAAGTGGAGACTCGTCCAGCAGCATTCCACAATCTCTGTCTAGGACACACACACAAAAAAAACTCAATAAATATGTAATAAAACACAAAAAAAAAAACTTAAATGATTCTTCCATTGAATTGTAAAAGGTACAAACAGGTCAATTTGTTCGACCCAGACAGAATATTTGCTGATAGTTACACCAAACTTTGACCTGAGTAATATCCCTACATTCTGTAAAACATTTTCAGGCTCTGGAGGTTACCAAACAAGCCAAACTAGAGTACACAGTCACATCCACCAATAAACTACAGCTTCATTCATGATGCACAGTTTCCAAGACGGAAGCAAACATATTCCAGGATGTGTAAAACGAAACAGGTCCATCCCTCACAGACCTAATCACAGATCCCTTTATCCTAGATGGAGTTATCATGCTAATAGACATAGTTTTTACACTTTACTGATCTGCCAGACAAAGTAAAATAAGGATGGATCTGTGTGGATTCAGATAATTTACAACAATCTCTTAGTTTAAAAAAAATGATGTTAGCTTTCAGTCACTTCTTTCCTGATATTAACATCGGGCCACTTTAACAGCGGCAAACAGAGATACTCACCAACAACTAACGATCAGGAAATGTTGCTAACTGGAGGAGCTGTTAGCTTACCTGTGAAAACGCAGGTTGGATACAGTCTGTGTGAAAATTCACAAGGAGATCCTGACCAGGGATGAGCGTTAAACGTGAATGAGGCTGGGCTTCATGCTTACGCAAAGCACCGTGGGTGTTTCTGCTGCTGCTTCCGCCCAGCAGCCGCTCTGCTGTGTGACGTGGCACAGACGCTGAGCTGAAGAGAATTACGGCTCTTCGTTTGGGATCCGCATCATCTGGCTCTGCTGCAGAATCGGTTCTTTCGACTTCCAATTGGTTCTTTTCACGCAGGTGGCGAATGTCAGGCAATACTTTAACAGGAATCTAGTGTGTGTATGGAGGACCAACTCTGCCATATCTAAAAATAAATGCTCTATAAATAAATAACCATACAATTAATTTCCCCCCAAAAATACAATAAACAAATATAGGTAGAAATTAAACTATACAGTGAGACATAAATGTATACAAGTACGAGTACAACGAGTACGAGTATCTTTTAATTAGCTTCTTTATTCACCTTTGTAATAATTGCCTTATTTATTTATTGTTCATTATAATCTTCAACTTTATTTATTACTTATTTTTATGTGTATTTATGTGCATGATATATTTTTGTCTGTTTTATTCTTCCTTTGTATTTTTTTTACCCTCTTTATTTTGGCAAAACTATTTCTGCCAGTCGTATGTACATTTCTGTATGCATTTCTGCCTCGTTATGCAAATGAGGAGAGGAGTGTCTTAAGGGTTCAAATTCTACTACTGCAGGGGTCCTCAACATATTCCAGGCCAAGGACCCCCAAACTGATGGCGAGTCGGAGCAGGACCCCCTAGTGTAAATATATATATATATATATATATATATATATATATATATATATATATATATATATATATATAAATAATGAAATTGTGTTTATCAAACTGGTCCTATAGTCACTCTATTACATATGGAGTAATGTAACCAAAGTAATTTCTCCCTGGGATTATTAATGTATTTCCGACTTCTGGTTGATGGGACAGGTGTTGTGAATGAAATGGTGCCCAGCTTGAAAGAGCTCCTGTGTGTCGCTGAATGTGTGCATTGATGATTGAAAGACATCATTTGCCTCCATTTATCTGTTTACTACAGTGTGTTGAATTCATGTTAATGTGGATTTAAGGACATTTCAATTAGTGGAAATAATTGCAGAGGGGAATATGAAAAAAAGTCTAATCAACCAAAACTTTCGTGACCCCCCATGCATTACCTCCATGGACCCCCTAGGGGTCGCCGACCTCCTGTTGAAGACCCCTGATCTAGTGGATTTCAAAGTTCACGCTTTAAATTGATTTACGAGTAAGTAGATACCACAAATGACGCTTTTAATGTACACTAATTTTGGATTTTGTCCTCAATGTAACAGAAAAATAGAGACTAGTTTCATTGTTATTGGAGCCAGTAGAAACAAGTGAACTAAACTTAACCATGCAATTTTTTAAACATACAAGTAAAGATCTAATATATAAATGCTGCAATTGATTACCTTCAATGGTTTCAAATGTTATTTAGAAGTAGCTACATTTGCTTTCTGTGATCAAAAATTATTCCAAAAGCAAAATTCTTGCTTCTGCAGTTTTCAGTAACATATAAAGATGGGCTGATACTCTATGGTTCTTGTGGTTTGAGAAAAACATCTTAAACTGATCATTAAAATGTCTTCAAAGGGAATGGTCTTTTGGATTTAGGTGATTTTAAGATGGCATTTTGAGTTGGCTCATGCATGACCTACACACAACTGAGGGTAAGGGCGCAGCTTAATGGCATCAGAAATAATTCCACCTGTTCGATCTAATGGAATCTGATGGTCCTTTCGTAATGACTTTGTCTGTAGGAACCTTGACATACAATAATCAAATTTGTTGGACCCATAAACTCAAAGGTCCACGTCATTAAAATAGCGCGGAAGTAATCTTGTTTAGCAACGCCATGTCCAAAAGCTCCCCTTTTACAAACCAATAATAAAAAAAATATAACACACACACCATTTGTTGAAAAGCTGTAGAAGCTGTTTATTGAGTCTTTCATATCACCATATTTTACAAAAACTAGACCTAAAGAAGTTAACTAAAGCATTTTTGATTTAGGCACAAAATATGGAAAAGCTCAGCCTAAAAAAAAAGAATTTTAATTTTGATTAAATTAGTAATATTTATAAGAGGTAAACCATGAGCAGGTAAAAGTAATGGATCTGTAAAGACGCAGAGTAAAATAAACTAAAAAGGAAAGCAAAAAGTCCAGTTATTTATTTTTAAATCAAATATTTAAACCCAAATGATTTCTATATTTCCAACCCCTGACAAGAGCACTAAAGTGAACATAAAAGATCGGGACTCTTTAGCTTTTAGTGGAAGCTTAAGGGCTGATCTTTGGTGTATGGAGACAAAAAAAAAAAAAAAAAAACATTGTCAACATGTCATGCACTTTGAAACTGCTTTTTACATTGCTGTAATACAAAACTCCCCTCCTTTGTCCACCGATATTTCTCAATCAGTAACAGATTAATGAGGCTGATTACATCGGCTAAAAGCTTTAAGAAACCAGTTTTTGCCATCCATCGGTTTTCTTCACCAAACTAAGGTATTGAAGCAGAGACAGATGTTAGCCGCTTATATCATTTGCGTTTTTTAGTTTGCAGATTAGAAAAAAGGCAGCACAAATAAGTTTACAAAAATATTTCTTTTTAAACCAGAACATTTTAGGTCCGGTGATTTGCATGGAGGTACTAGAATTGTTTTGATAGCTGTGAAACAGGTTTTGCCAAGGTATTTAAATACTCTTACAAGTGGAATAAAATCCACAGAGAACATGCAGCAAGTGCAGCTGCAACTCAACTATATAGATAAGCTAGAAAATTTCACTTACAACCCAATACTCTGCTGAAAACAACATCTACCTGCTCATCAGGTGATCATTTCAGAAAGACTGAAGAAAACACCCAGTGTACTCACACAAAGAAGATAATCCATCCCCATTCATTAGTCGTGCATCTGAGGGCCTCCGTATCAGAAAATAAAAGTTTACATGCCAAACTTCCCCCATCTTGTTAAATAACAAAATGCAAACTGTTTACAATGGGTGATATAACACTTGACACTGAACAACCCTTGTGGGTCAAAAAACACTATTTGCAGCATTTCCTTTGATAGAAACATTCAAGGTTGACTGAAAGGCTGACCAGTATTAAAGTGACATTCTCTTACTCCAAGGTAAGAAATAAAAACGTTGCTACTTATTTCACAGTTGAAACCATTAAAATGACACGCATGGACCAGATGGAAGTAGTCACCTGGGACATGCTGTTTCTGTCAGAAGCAAAGCGAGTGACCGACGGTAATAAAAAGACTTAATAGCTTCATCTAAACATTGCACCTTCTGACAACTCTCAAAAATAGGTTTTGATTGTGTCTGAATGCAAAATGTGCTCATCATTGACACAGAGTCCAAATGTTGACAGATACTGTCTAAGCTGCTGGTTGCAGTGCATGGCATGTGAGCAGAGGGCAACGCAACCTTGCAAGTCCTCGCTTGCTACAACCCATCATTTATATTATACTCTGAATACTCAGGATTGAATGCAGTGGCCAGTTCTGATAGTCTCACCTTTTTTCCCCCATGCAGCCCAGTTTAGTCCAAAGGCCATATCTGCAATGCTTATTAATTAAAGTTGTACAAAGGTGATACTATTATCTAGAACCAAATGGGGAAAGGCTAAAACAGCCTCTTTGAGGAAGATTATACTTTCTTGATTTAGTCCATATCTTTCAAGGTGCAGGTTCTTCTTGAAGTTGCATTCGTCTCTCTGCAGCAGCTGCCATGGTTCTACGTCTCAGCACATTTGAGTCCGGTTCCGAGAGAGAGTCCTCCTCCAGTCTGGGTAAGTCATCATGATCTTCTTGACCCTTGTTCAAATATCTCCTATGGGGAGGAGAGAAGTCAAAAAGGAGTAATTAATGAAAGGGGATAACAGACATGGCAGAAACTTAGCATTTGTGTGCAAAGATTTAAAAGGAAAAGTATTTCATGTGTGACTTCTCATATAAATCTGTACATCATAGACTTTTAAGCTTTTCTATTTGGGGTAATATGACATTTAAACTCACAATACAAGTTTTAGGTTGCATCTTTTGTGCAATGAAATGAAAATCTAAAACTGTTGTTGAAGAATCTAGAGTACCTCTAACCACACAAATTAAATAAAACCAACCTGCGTGCTTGCTGGAGCAATTCTTCTTTTCTCAGCTTTAGCATCTTCTGCCTCTCTTCAGCGGACTTGGAAAAGCGACCACCCCTGGCCTCCATGTTGTCTGACTCACTGGGGTTCTGCTCTGATCCACCACTGGGACCTGGCTGCTCATCTGCTGCTGGGCTGCCCTGGATGGGGGCGCGTTCTATGGCCTAACAACAGCAGAAGAATAAAGCCAGGAGGTAAATATCCACTAAAACTACGCATGCCTATTTAGAAAACACAAAGCAAATATGTCTTTGCTGACCTGGGCAGGGAAGGGCACCTGGATTCGTCCTTCCAAAATGTTGTCTGTGGTGACTTCAACAGAGCGAGTCAGCTGCAGGTCCTGAATAACAAGGTAGGAGGGCACCTGAGGGAACATCTCCTGAATCTGATGGGCCTGTTGGACCAGAAACACATGAGCAGAAAAAACAAAAGGACAGATTAACAACAGTTATTAATATTTCAACCAAAATACCACAACAGACCTGACCTTAATATGTATCTAAACTCCACTACTGCAGTTTGAGTAAAATTAAGATTTCTACACGTGTTAGAAAAAGGTCACATTCATGGGAGCAGAAACATAAAAAATATATCCCATAAAACCATTCATTGCATGAGCGCAACTGACATCTTACCATGGCCATAAGCTGCGAGTTGTTGGCCTGAGCCATGCCCAAAATATTGTTCGTGTGCATTACTTCAACTGAAAAACTGGGCAGCCAGCTGGCAATGCGAGACCCTGTAAGGACATATGAATGGACACACTCAGTCTTCACTTCCTCCACAACTCACTATAGGATCTGTGAGAGGCAGACTCACCATCAAAGTGGAAGAAGTGGTTGTGATGGTTGATGTGTGGTCGAGCTTCTGGGGCAGCTCCAACTTGACCAATGTTGTCTTCCAAACCAGCACCCTGCTGCGGGTTTCTCCCCGGAGCCCCATCGCCGCTGATGTTCAGCGAGGTTCGACACGTGGGACATGATGTGTCTTGCTCGAGCCATGAACGCAAACAAGAGCTGCAAAGTCACACAAGCAGTTATTATCCACTTGTTTTTATGCATGTGGAACTGATAACACGTAATTTAAGAAAAGGTTGTAGCATGCAGAGGCTCAGGCTAAAGATAAAAATATTGACTGGTTTTGGCCAAAGTTTGCACAACATTCTATACAAAAACCTTGAAAGTCTGATTCTTAAACAAAATAAATAAAAACAAATGGAAATAATTATAAAAGGCGGGTTGTTTACTTATGGAAAAGATGACCACAGGGTAGTTTGCGTGCTGTCAGCATGGCATCCCAGCAGATGGCACAATCGTCATCATTTGCAGCCAGCTCCTCTGCAGTAGCAACTGCAAACCTGCACAAAAAGCATTTTATATAATAAAAACAAAATAAGACATCACAGCATTATCAATGGAAGTTTCAAAAGAATGTTTAGGGGGGAAAAAAGGTCTTTATTGTCAAGACTGTTTTTCCTCAATTTGAAAAGCACAAAAAAGACAATCATTCAGAAGGCCCCAGATAGTAAGAAGAAGAAAGAAAAGCTTTCCAATATTTCTGTCAAAACCTTTTGTAATTTTAAAAGGACATAAAGGACACACAAAAAAATTATATTACCTGGCCTCCATGTTGTTAATAACTCTAAGGTAGTTCTTGTGTCTGCGAATGCGACGCTGGACCTCGTGGAAAAGATATCGCAACTGCATAAAGATAACCAAGCTCGCCATGGACAGCCAGATGTTACCAAACAGCTGGAATGAGGTGGACATAAACACAGAAGGCAAAGACATAGTTTAGCAAAGCTACTCATTGCATTTCTAGATGACCTTTGAGATAACACTGCATGCATAAGCATAATGAACACATTCTATACCCTGAACCTTTTTTCTTTTTCATCTGACATGTGATCCTGGTGTGTGATTTCACTCGATTAATCAGCATGCCTCATCTCAGGCTATTGTAAACCTGATCTCTTACTCAGTGATCCAACGAAAAACACAATAGTATTTCAGACCATTTGTAAACATCTCCTTACCAGCATATGGATATGGTGTACAAGATCCAGAAAGAGCATAGCCAGCTCCATTATGAAGTCTGTGTAGTAGACATATGTTCCTTTGCTCTCCCAGGTTCCTGGATGGTTCAGATCCCACAGATGGATGGAGTACCTAAAGGGAAGAAAAAAAAAAAACACCCATTTATCATCTCATCATATACACAGAGATTTTGTTATTAACATACTTTTACAAGTTAAAAAGTCTGAATCATGTAGTGTGCATTTCTATTCAAGTCTTAGACAAAACTGGCTGCAAGAGAAGCTGCATATCTTAGGTCACACTGGAAGGAGAGTGCTCCCAAAATAATCTTTTCAGACTCCCTTTAGGTCTAGATGTTGATTGGTCCACAAACATATAAGCTGAGCTAAACTACCCGGATCCATTGTGGTCCCAGCTATGCATTTAGTGTTGATCTGCTGTAGAGTAAATATCTTCCCCAGTCTATAGTCCCATGCCATCCTTCCAAGATAATCTTCCAGTTTCTCCCCACTTTTAGCTTCATCCATCTTGTCATCAACTGTGATCAGTTCACCTGTTACTACAAAAGAAAATCACGCTCACAGTATGATGCAGCCTGCATCACCTCCCCTGTTGGGACAGTTATGTGTCAACTTTCAATATCGAAAAATGTAATCTATTGATAATTGCGCCCTCTTCAACATATCAGCCTTGTCCCCAATCTTCACCACCTTTCCTTCTTTAAAAATTCTACATTTGGGGAATGGAGAACTACTGGTTAACCTCTGCAAAGTCTCCCACATGAGCTGAGAATTCAAGCAGCTCCTCCTTATTTACCACCATTCCTCTTTGTGTTCTTCATTTTCAAGCCGTCAGTTCAGCAGGAGAGCCATGTCCCTTTGTTCAGCGACAAATTAAACAGCACAGTAATTTTGTAAAAAGCTTGAGATACTGTTTTATACGTCAACCTTTCTTAAAACCTCGCCATCTTCCCTGACCTGCTGCTGTAGCTCTGAGTCTTTGTGATACTGTTTGTTTGCTTGTTAATGTTCTCTACCAGGCCTCTGAGGCCCTCAAAGAGCAGCTATGTTCATCATACTGAATTTAAAATTATCTACTCATTGGATATATTCACCAATTAGGTTTTACCTTGGACAATATTTTAATTAAGGGCGTTAGAGTAGAAGGACAGTGAATAAAAATGCACACCACATTTGTGAGATTTCTGTAAAAACAAAAAGTATAAACCCATTTATTCCTTTGTCAGTACTTTAAAATGATGCATCATCACGATGTGATGATGCATCGTATAGCATCCTTATAAAAAAAACACAGAAGGTTCCTACCTAAATGTGGGTAAGTTAAGGGGGTATGAATACTTTTTATCAGGCTCTTTAGTAGAAGAAGCAGTTTTATTGTCATTAAACAGAATGTGACATTTTGTTAAGCTGCAACAGTGTCAGTTAGATACAGTTATTTAGTTTTATAAACAGTCTTTGGAAATAGCGCAAAAAAATGATTTGTTGGACAGGGAGATAATAGCGTGAGTATGTTTTCGTTCATGCAGAAGTTTTCTATTTTAACAGCCATCGGGGGGGGAAAAAAGGTTGTGTTCAAGTCTGTTGATGTGGGCTTGTGTTACTATGGTTGTCATGGGATTTGTAGTATGATTTTTGGAAGAATTCAAGCTATTTATTTAGCAACAAAGGGACTATAGTTTTCTACTTAACACATACATTTTTTTAACTCTGTTCTGTGTTAAAATTAGTAGTGACCATAATGTAAAAGAAATAAAAAAACATAAATCAAGAAAGTTGTGGCTGTATGGTTTCAGTACTAATGGAAGCAGGAGAAAACTAATAGGGTTTCTAAGTTTAGCCCACTTCTAAATGTGAGCAGGCTGGAATCAGCACTGCTTCTGTATGTGGGTGTCCGACCAAACACTTACCTCAGTATAACGTGCCCAGTGCGAACAGTCACCAACAAACACTGAGGGGAAAAAAAAAAAATCAAAGTTATCTGCTGTATCTTACTTTCTTTATTAATCAAAATTATTCTAAAACTATGTCTTTGGCTTTACAAACGTGAGCTGGAAGAAAATATCAGAAATCATTATAAGCTAGGGGAACGTTAACAGAGTGTGGATATCAGGCTCCAGTGTGATTATTTAAAGATCAGATCCTCTTTAAGTTACTTGGCTTTAGATAAAAGAATCCAAAGAAAAGGAAATTCATTACAAAAATATCCTAAAAGCACATGGTGGAAGAACAGTATTTGGGCAAAGCTAAAATCAATAAAGACGCAAATGTCTGTCATTATGACTATTGTTAATCAAATAAATATGCATTTAAGCTAAGACATATTAAGCACAACAAATATGTTCTAATCTACCATGAGAAGATTTAAAAAAAAAAAATGCTTAAATTACATGATATCACAAAAGCTTGAGAATAAATAATTATTAAAAATCAAGATGTCTATGAATTTATTTGTATACCATAGGATTAAAATGTTATGCGTTTCTAGGCTCATATAGAGGATCTAGAATTTAAAATGCTGTGTAACTGCTCGTCATTACCTCTGCAGCCATAAATGAGAGAGTATGCATGCCATGAGAGGCTCCTAACAGGCCGCAAACCACCGCCAGGCCGCAGCAGTCCAGGAGCAGCGACACCAGCAGACAGAGCACTCTCACATGGCTGTTCATTGGGGTGGATGGAGAGAAAGACAGCTGCAGCACACACACACAAAAACAAAAATTAGTATTTTGCATTTTACTCAAGACTTCATTTTAAATACAGTGCTGTGGGAAATAAGATTTTGATACCTCCTAATTTTGCTTTCTCTCAATTTTTCTTTGAATTTTAAACACATTTTAATATCAGACAGTGGAAACTCAAGTGAGCACAAAAATAAATTTTCAAATTATCCATTTTACTAAGAGAAGAATATTCTTTAAAACTCGCCTGGCAATCGTGTCTTTGCAACAACTGGTAGGAAGTATTTTACATCAGTGGAAATTAAACCTTTGCAGAATCATTCTACCTCAGTCATGTTGGATTTTCAAGCATGAGCACAGACTGCTTCATCTATGCAAGTTCTGTTTTTTTTTCCCTTTCTTATTAAATGTAATCACACAAGTGAAAATTGTGTTCCATTTTGATTCAGATTATCTCCACCATCATCCATGTTAATGATATGTGACCCTTTTAGAAAATGAAAATCCATTAAATATTAATTTGAAAATTAACTAAGCCTCTTTAATTAAATTATAAAAACATGAATGGCGACAACACTGCAAAGGAAACATTTCCGTAGTTTTCTAATTGAGCCATATCTGTAAAACCAACTTCAGGTTACACAGCTACTATTATCTTTAACAGATCTTAAAAAAGAAAAAAAAAAAAAGATTGTTTTGTTTAAAAGAAAGTGTAATTTATAAAACTTTTGTGCTCTCCAATAAATCGTGGAATAAAGTGCTCACCCTTCAACAGTTAATTGAAACAATACTGTCCTCTGCAGCTGCCTTAGTGAACTGCATGTCAAGCACCGATCACTGACAATGAAGTATGGAGAAATGCAGAAGGTTGAGCTTTTACTGAACTATGCAGGAAATTTCACCTAAACGCATTCCATAATCGATGTCTATTTCAATTAGTTATTGCAGCCCTGTATCCTGAAGTCAAAAGCGTTAACATTGGAAAGTGGACAGGAATTCAAATTAATGGACTTCTGTAAGATATAATACTGTTCCATATGACTGTGTAGTCCGAATGGGGTTTTCTGTTGTTGTTTTTTAAAGCTTTAAATAAATTGTGACTTCAAATTTTTAAAAATAATTCTCATATGCACACTTATTTCAGCTTAATGGGATCAGTTTTCTATTTATGTGGCTGTCCTGAACATCATTAAAGAAACACAACCTATTAACTACGAAAATATTTCAAATACAACCCACTGTGGTTTACATTCTGACTGAAAGTATGAGCCTGTAAACTTGTCTTCAACTTAACTTTTGTTCCACATAAATTTAAGAAAAAATAGCCGTTTCTGAAAATGTAGAAATCTAAACTGTACGAAAGTAAACAGGTGTTTTTTACCAGAGACATCCTGACACAACTTAGAAATTCTTATCTTTGATCTCTGGCTGTTTAACTCGAATTTCTGATCTTCACCAAAAAAACTAAACAGAGATGAAAACAGCAAAACACCTGTCTGTGAACTCAAGAGTCATTTTAGCCTAAAAACAGAAGGAGTAAAGGAAGTCTATTATTAAACCCAAAATGAAACAGATGCAGATGTTTTCATACAAAGACAAACAATCATCTAAGATACTAAATGCAATTAGACAATAAAATCCAATGAAATTATTTTCTTTTGTGGTACACAAAGCCAGTCAATTGGTCTACCATATAAATCACTAGCTTGTAGAAAAATATCTGCGTATTAGAAGGTAATTAAAATTGCCCCTTCCCCCACAGCATACAGCACAAGCTAGTACAGGGCAAGTCAATGTTGGGACTGAAACAGTATCAGTGAGCAGACAGGTCAGAACATGGAGCTATTAATAGACCTAGAACTGGAGTAAATGAATTTACACTGAGTCTTTTCACAAACCTTTACAAACAACTACACTAATATAAAGGCTTGTAGAGTAAACAATAATAAAGGCATAAATAATGCAAATGATGACTGTGTGTCTCCCTAGACTTCCTCAGTTTAATTTAATAGACAGCCCATCTTCTTTCTTCCCAACAGGCTTGTTTTTGCAGTTAGAACCTATAGTAATGATCCATTACAATATAAATAAAGTGTGTAAGGCATGCAGAAAAATTTCATATGTACACATACTAGATAGTAAAAACTATAAATGGGATAAAGTTTTTGCCAAACAGCAGAAAAGGTTTTGAAGTTACATTTCAGCGAAGGTAAGTGATGTTTGCATATTCAAATCATTACCAGTGAACACAAATTTAAGTTATCCGCACTCACGGCATTAAGATAATGCTGATCAGATTTAAAGAACATGGATAACAATTAAAGGCAAGTCTTCATTCTAATTACATAAACCTTTACTGACAAAGTTCCTATATAATTTACCCTTTTCACTTCCTCTCTCCATGATGCTGGCTTTTGCACTATGACTTTTGCAGTAGTATTAGAGTTGTGCAAGAGAAGGGGAGAAATAAACAAGCTTTGCTAATAGGCTGATTGACTGTGACTTTGTCCTTTTTCTATGGTCATGTGTTGTACACACTGCTGTTTGGTCACGTATATCTAAAGGAGATTTCAGTTCCATTTTGAAATGTGCTTTAGATAGGAGCAAAATGGTTTCATGTCGTCATAGTTTTTAAATTTCTAAAATGTGAGAATAGAATTACTATTTTCATTATAATTATATACACTTTAAACAGAATGTCGAGCTATGATCAGAACTCTTATATATAAATAGTGTTTGATAGGCAAATACCATTTAACAAAATACCTGTTAAAGCCTTAGAAGCATTAAAAAGCAAACTTTTCAAGGAGAAGGAAGTAAACTAAAAAGGGGAATTTTAACTTTTTTACGGGTCAGTACTTTTAGGAACCCACAGATGTGAACATACAAACGTATACCTAAACTGAACTTACTTACATATTCAAAACGGTCTTTGCAGAGCTGAACCATGAGATGGAGAAAGACCAAGGCTGAGAACCACAAACACCACATGACCACTTCTTCCACGGTTTGCACATTCAACACTCCAAATATGAAAATGAACTTGTAGAAGATGAAGTTCCAGAATTTATCCTTAAGATGCTGATGCATAAAAAAAGGGATAAAAAGGCAAATTAGGAACTGATCCGATTCCAAATGTTCATTGTAAGCTATTAGACTATACTGAGCGCAGAAAGAGATTCAAATGTATGATAAACAACTGTAGCGGAAACCCATAAGGAACAGCATTGACTGAAATACAGAGGAATCTGCTTATAGTGGTCACGGATATAGTAATCCACCGCTTATAGTGTTCAAAAGGCTGCGGACAGAATCATTTCTATACAAATACTGTTTAAATAATTCATTTATAGTAATCAAGAAATCAATTTTTGGCCATTTTATGAATGTAAACATAAGCAAAAATAATAACTGATCGAAAGTGATGACAGCACCCCGGTGTCAGAGCCCATGACAGATGACATTATCACGGAGGTACATAAGGAATGCAGTTTGCATTTTAAAGACTGGTCTCCTGCATGTTGGTTTCAAAACTTTGACCTTTTACATCATTTTGCAAAAGTGAACTCGGTGTTGGACAACACTCTGATCCAGGGAACCATGGATAAATATGTGAAGTGATTTCTTAATGCGCCGCAGCACATCCGCAACACAGAACAGACGTAGGCTAGCTTTAATTTGCTGTAGCCTATGCAGTTATCTTCTATGTTGTTGTTCTATGAAAAAGTTTGTTTCAAACTTTATTTTTTTTTAAATGCACCGATGGCACCAGGCAGTATACTGTAATTATAAAGTTGCATGGTACTATAATAAAATTCAGTAAATGCGGAAGCTATCCGTTTTATTAAAATTTTCTGATTGAAAAACCACACTAATGGCATTTAGATGATATTCAGCATAAAAAATAAGTGAAATACTGTGAATATAGTGTTCAAATTGGCTCTGGACCAACGTGATCACTATAAGCGGATTCCACTGTACTTAGTTGTTTGGAGACTTGCTTAAAAATGCCCGTAACGGGAGAATCCATGGGTAAAACTCAATGTTCCATGTTACAAACACATTTTAAAATGTTTTTTTAAATAATGCCTATATAAAAAATGCAGATTTACCTGCTTCTCGCTGACTCTGAGGGGGCCAAAAACCACATACTGGATCATTTTTGCAATCAACATCAAAGAGCAGCAGAATGTGTTCACCAACACCTGCCATGATACCAAAAATAAGGTGACCATTAGTTTTTCTTTTTGCAATAAAACAGATATGATAACATTATGCAAACCTTGATGACACTCACCCATACAAACAAAGTGTCGTTAATTAGATACCAGAGGACAGTTCTGGCCAGTTCTGTACTACCCACTGCATTTCTCAAGTGTTCCAGATCCACATCAGAGGGGGCTGGGGTGTCCTCAGATTCCAAGGCCCCAAACCCTGGGTCAGTGACAGTGGTGTAGGCACTGAAGATGCTCCCAGCCAGCAAAGCCACACTCAGGGCGGTGTAGGTCTGCAGGCTGGGCCAGGGAAACCTCTCCAGAAACAGCAGAGGCATCGCTAGGGTCCACCCTTCAAACTGTGAACGTTCACACTCTCCACCAGCCTGTTGGAACGGAAACAAAACGGCTAACGTTAGCCAAACTTTAAAGAGCTAAGCGCAAACATTACATAATCACGCCACCTGTCACAAGGCTGGGGTATTTTCACGTCTTTGTCTAGAATAACTATAAAAACAAGGAAAAATTCAACACACCACACATTTAGTGAGAATAAGACATTAAAAATAAGAGAGAAGCAAAGGGAACACAGAAGCTAACGATACTACGCAGAGCTAGCCACTTAGCAACCAAGCACAAACACATGCACAACAAATTAAGTTTAACCATTCACTTAACTCGACGATAAACCTAATAAAACTAGATTTGTGCGTTTATACTAAGGGGTAACTGTTAAATAGCAACTCTGACAAATATATTAAATAACAGAAGTTAACGCCCTGATCACGGTCTGTTTACCTGGCTAACGTTACCTAATACTAGCTTACTGTAATACCAGCTACGTAGCTTCGCAGTGTGAACAAACTTCAAAAACTATGTTAAATATTCACTTACAATATGTCTCCGGTTTATTTAAACGCGAAACCCAGAGTAATTTTTTTTCCCAGTTGATCCGTGCTTTCAGATGACAGAGGCAGCAGACAGCATCGCCTTGTTTATTGAGCCGAGCAGAGGCAGCTGTAGGCTGAACGGAGGAGAGCAGGCAGGCAGCGTCATAAGGACTATCATTTTAAAGCCATGCTAATTGAAAATATCTGCCACAAACTGTAAATAATTGATTAAATATTGTTTCGATGTTCTTTTCATTTTTTATTTATACTTTTCTTTCTTTTTAATTTTTTCCTGAAAAATAATCTTTAGAAAATTTCCCTACAAAAAAAGAAGCAAGAAATTAGACCTTTCCTTTATATATAAATAGATAGATAGATAGATAGATAGAGAGATATGTATGTATGTATGTATGTATGTATGTATGTATGTATGTATGTATGTATGTATGTATATGCATACATATATATATATATATATATATATATATATATATATATATATATATATATACAGTATATATATATATATATATATATATATATAGACAGAGGCGTAGCCAGAAACTTTTTATAAGGGTGGCCGCCGCCGGGCAATAACCAGTGTACACTAAAGGGTGGCCGAAAGCGGATAAGCACCAGAACCTCAGGGTCAATCTACACTGTTCCAAAATTAATGAGCAAAACATCCATATTTTCCTAATAAAGACAAACTATACTTTCCTATGGCCTTTGCTAACAAATAGATGCATATATTTAAACATCCATCCTTTTAGATAAAAGGTTAAGTGGATAAAATTCTTTCAGGTTTGAGTTCTGGGGCGAACATCTTTTCCATTGTCATTACTTACCTACTTTTATCAATAAACATTCTGCATAAAATTGATATTTACAAGTACTAATATCTACATAAATTGATTATTTAATAAATTTTTAGTAAAATAGTTATTTAACTATGATTACACTAAGGACTCCTAAATGAATGCAGCGACACATCATTTTCTCTTTACCCCATAAAACACAAAATCTAGTTCTGAAAAGAGCAGGAATTCTGTGCTTACCATCTTTAATGTTAGTATATTGATGTGCATAATTAACAACTTTTTTGTTATCAAGTAATTATGAATATATGAAAATTTGTAAGTAATATATGAAAAATTTTAATGTTTTGAATATTTCACTTGATTATTAGGGGGAAAGAAATGGTAGGGGTGCCCACAGGAGTGGCCAATGATTGGCTGATTCACAAACAAGTTTGCACTTTTGAGACAGTTTTGTTCACATCTGTAGTTTAAACTGTCTCATTTACAAGTACCGTATGCACTTTGTGTTTAATGTGACAGGGGGAAAAAATAAATGAATATTTTGAAACACAGTTGAACCACTTTCATTATTCTAAAAACAGATCGAATTGAATGAACAATGAACATTTTACTTCACACTTGCCCAATGGACAACGAGTACAAAGAGAGTGGCTGATGTACTCTCCCTCTACTGGTAATGTTTACTGCTTTGCATGCAAACTGTTTTCCCCAAAAACGCATTCTTTTGTGACAGGCTATTGTGATTGGAAACACTCAGAAAGATTTGGTGAACATGAGCGAAGTGCTGAGCACATAACCTGCATGCAAGCAGTCTTGAACCGCGCCAAAGGTGCCACAGTTGATGCAGACCTGTTCAAACAGTTTCAGGCAGAGAGCAGCTATTGGAGGCAGGTGTTACAAAGAGTTGTTGCAGTCATTAAATTCCTTGCAGAAAAGGGCCTTGCATTTAGGGGTAAAAATAAATCGTTAGGGTCTCCTCTCAATGGGAACTACCTTGGTATTCTGGAGGTCCTGGCTGAATTTGATCCCTTTCTAAAGGATCACATCAGAAAGTTTGGGCAGATGGGTCGAGGTAATACCTCATATCTGTCCTCCACCATTTGTGAGGAATTCATTGAATTGATGGGTGCAAAAACCAAACAGGCTATAGCAGATGAACTGCAAGCAAGCAAATACTACTCTATCATTGTGGATTCAACCCCAGATTTATCTCATGTGGACCAATTGACATTCATATTCCGTTTTGTTAGCAAAGAGGGCAGTGTTGTTGAACGCTTTGTGGGTTTTGAGCCCATTACTAGCCATACAGGTGAAAGTTTGGCTAACTGTGTCATGTCTGTGTTGGAAAATCTAGGGTTAGAGCTGTCAAATTGCAGGGGGCAGGCTTATGATAATGCCAGCAACATGTCAGGGAGGTATAATGGGTTGCAGGCTCACTTAAAGAAAAGCAACCCATTAATACACTATATTCCACGTGCAGCTCACTCTTTGAATTTGGTGGGAGTCAACAGCATTGACAGATGTGGAAATGAAGTCTCTAAGTATTTTGACTTGATTCAGTCTATTTACAACTTCACAATTGCATCCACACACCGATGGGACAGGGTATTTGGCAATTCCAACATAGATCTCACACTTAAAGCTTTATCCAACACGCGTTGGAGTTGCCGTGCAGAATCTACCAAAGCACTGTGGCAGAACTACAGTAAAATAAAAGCAGCACTACAGGTTATTTCCACTGATGACACAGAGAAACGAGACACACGAACTGAAGCTGACAGTCTAATGCGGAAGCTGGATTCACTTGAGATGGCCTTCATGGCAGGCTTTTGGGACACTGTTCTGTCCAGATTTCAGGCCACAAGTCTGCAACTTCAAAAAGCAGACATGGACCTTGGTACAGCAGTTAGATTGCTGGAATCTCTGCGCACCTTTGTTCTCTCCCAAAGAGATCTATTTGATCATTTTGAGCAGAAAGCCTTAAACATGTTGGGTGGCACCCCATCTTACAGGGCTGAACGGACGAGGAAACGTAAAAAGTTTGCTGATGAATCAGCATCCCCAGATGTTGTGCTTGAGGGAAGGCAACTGTTTCAAATAGAGACATTTATTGCCTCTATTGATCAACTGAGTTCAAGCCTTAATCACCGTATGGAGGCCTACAAACATCTGAACAATTTGTTCAGTGTCCTTTTCTCTTTGGATACAGAGTCCAATGCTACAGTCCTTCACAAGGCCAAGATTCTCACTGAATCATACCCATCTGACCTCAATGAAAGTCTTGGACAGGAGCTTATACAGTTCAAATCTTTTATACAGCTCAACAACACTGATGAGGAGAGGACCCCTTCAGGACTGCTCAAAATAATAATACATTTTGGACTACAGCCTACGTTTCCTAATACATACATTGCGCTACAGATTTTTCTCACTCTACCGGTCAGTAACTGTGAGGGAGAACGCTCATTCTCTCTTTTGTCAAGAGTAAAAAATGAGCTGCACACAAGAATGACTCAGAAAAGATTAAATGCGTTATCTCTAATGGCAATTGAGAGTGAGCTGACAAGAGAGTTGGACTTCAATGATGTGGTGGATGATTTTGCAAAATTGAAAGCACGAAAGAAACCCCTTGCTTAAAGGTGCACTGTGTAAGATTTTTAGGTTATTTCCAGAATTCACCCATTCACTAATGTTAGGCTACCTGTTTTCATGAATACTTACCACCACCATAAAATTCTAAGTATCCATTATGACTTGGAGAATTGCACTTTCGCCATTTCTGGGAAGTGTCACCTGGATTGTGAAGATAGGATTGACTTTAGGCAGAAGCTTGGTGCTTTCTCTGGCAAACTGAACCTCAAGCTTTGCATTCTTGTGCAGACTTTCATCCACAAGGAACTTTTCAACTTCCCCACTATCGTGAAGGGGCCATCAAAAATTTCAGTGTGTCCAGCATGTCTAGTCTCTTACTCTCCTTTCTTTGAGCCATCTCTTGTTTCTCATCTGCCCTACTCTCGAATTTTGCCTTCATGAATTTACTCCAGTTGAGTTCAACCTCCCTTTTTGCTTGTGCTGCTGCCTTGAAACCTCTGAAGCTCCTGGCACTTCTGTAAAATTATTGACCTATTGACTGCGTTCAGTGTGCCCAACTTCTTCAGTTTGTAGTCCACCTTGCCACATTGTCTCTCCATCCCAATGTTGTGCACAGGGGTGCCATCAATGTTACTAGCCTGTTCACTGACAGGGTCCATTAGGAAGGTCTCCTCATCCATCCTCTGCCTGGCCAGGACAGTCTTCAGATGGGGCAGCATGAGATCTGTCAGCTGCTTCACTTCATCCAAGTATTCGGCAGCCACGTCTGACACTGAGTTCAGGACATGTCCAGTGCCTGTCCAGCCACTATAGCATTCTTGGAAATGGGCTATCTTGACCTGCATGCAGCCCTTGTACCATGAACTGGCCTACACCTTTCTTTGTGTTGCTCTCCGATGCATGTTATCATTTTACCTTTCTCCTTCTCCTCAAGCTTAACCACAAATAGATACAGACTTTGAGCCTCAATTTGCTGCACAGCTGCCGTTATGCCAAAGTGTTTTCCTAAGATATTATTTTATTTTTAATGATAGAAGGGAGGAAAAGGGGGCAAAAATCATGTCCGATTTAGTTTTTTGGGTGGGGTGGGGGGGTTTATTTCATGATAGCTACCGACAGGACACCATGTGCTAGCTAGAAACACAGGTTAACGCCCATGCTGAGCGTGTAACTTCTTCAAACTAAACGGTGATTCAGTCATAACCATCTCATACAAGTTTAGTCTTGTATTTCTCTGATTAGAGAAAAAAAAAACTTGTTACAATCGTCTGTTGTTGCAATAGCACCCATTCCCCCCTCGAAATGAAAACCAGATATAATGAGGGGAAAGCTGAAAGATGTCGATGGGGGGAAAAATCATGCTGTTTATTCATACTGATATGGACTGGGTGATGTGTTAGCAACAAAAGGATGCCACATCATTTGATGGAAATGAAAATTATCAACCTACAGAGGACTGAATTCAAAGACACCCCAAAAATTACAGTGAATAAAATGATGCTGCAGGCTAGTCCATTTTGCTGAAATTTCATTGCAGCAACTCAAAATGGTATTCAGTAATTTGTGTGGCCCCCACGTGCGTGTCTGCATGCCTGACAACGTCAGGGCATGCTCCTAATGAGATGATGGATGGCGTCCTGGGGTATCTCCTCCAAGATCTGGACCAGGGCATCACTGAGCTCCTGGGCAGTCTGAGGTGCAACCTGGCAGCGTCGGATGGATCGAAACATAATGTCCCAGAGGTGCTCTATTGGATTTAGGTCAGGTGAGCGTGGGGGCTAATCAATGGTATCAATTCCTTCATTCTCCAGGAACTGCCTGTATACTCTCTCCACATGTGGCTGGGCACTGTCGTTCACCAGGAGGAACCCAGGAACCAAACCGGTCATGTTGAACGACGTTACAGGCAGCATAATGTTCACCACGGCTTCTCCAGACCCTCTGTCACATGTGCTCAGGGTGAACCTGCTCTCATCTGTGAAAAGCACAGGGCACAGTGGCGGACTTGTCAATTCCGGTGTTATGTAGCAAATGCAAATCGAGCTCCACGGTGCCGGGCAGTGAGCACAGGGCCCATTGAAGGACGTCGGGCCCTCAGGCCATCCTCGTCAAGTCTGTTTCTGATTGTTTGGTCAGAGACATTCACACCAGTGGCCTGCTGGAGGTCATTTTGTAGGGCTCTGGCAGTGCTCCTCCTGCTCCTCCTTGCACAAAGGAGCAGATACCGGTCCTGCTGATGGGTTGTAGACCTTCTATGACCCTGTCCAACTCTCCTGGAGTAACTGCCTGTCTCCTGGAATCTCCTCCATGCTCTTGAGATTGTTCTGGGAGACACAGCAAACTTCTGGCAATGGCTCGTATTGATGTGCCATCCTGGAGGACTTGGACTGCCTGTGCTACCTCTGTAGGGTCCAGGTAGCGCATCATGCTAACAGTAGTGACAGTGACCAAAGCCAAATGCAAAACTGGTGAAAAAGCGTTAGAAGAGATGAGGAGGGGAAAAAAATGTCAGTGGCCTCCACCTGTAAAACCATTCCTGTTTTGATGGTCGTCTCGTTGTTGTCCCTCTAGTGCACCTGTTGTTAGTTTCATTAACACCAAAGCAGCTGAAACTGATTAACAACCCCCTCTGCTACTTACCTGACCTAATCAATATCCCAGAAGTTTAATTAACTTGATGCTATACTCTGATTACAAAGTGTTCCTTAAATTTTTTTTGAGTAGTGTATATTTACAACAATATAATCCACTTAAAATTCTGCAATAGGAAGTTTCCCATGTGTTTGAATGTCTCTTATATAAAAAAAAAGTTTAAAAAAATGTAGTATCTAGTCCACTAATGGCAGGTGCAGTGCTGACTCTTTCTTATGGAAAGTTAGTTGTTAGGATGATGGTCCTGTTTTTATGTGAAGAACCAGTTTGATAGTCACCGTTAATGTTATCGATCTACTTTTCAACGATGCTGCTTATAAAGCCAAGTCTACCTCTAATTTATCTAATTTGCAATACTCTTGTTTAGTTACCTGGAAGGTTACTTGGCCCTTCACCTGCGCAAGGCTCTATTGAGGTGGTGCTTAAGTTCTTGTGAGGCAAACTTACAAAAATCTAGACACTGGGTTTGATAGGCTTTTAAATTCATAAATGCCATTTTGGGCCAAAGACAAAAAACAAACAAACAATTATTTCAGGAGGGCACTTTTCCAGAGGGGAAACGGGCAGGTGCTCTAGCACCACCTAATGCAGGGGTGCTCAAGTCCAGTCCTCAAGAGCTACCATCCTGTAACTTATAGATGCATTTCTTCTCTAACGCACCTGAATCACAAGGCTCAATCCCCTCATTAAGCCCAGCAAAGGCATGGTAATGAGCCACTTATCTGTTTCAGGTACCACTGCAGACGTAACATGTGTGTTAAAAATGGTTGCACCAAAACGTTGCAGGATAGTAGCTCTTGAGGACTGGACTTGAGCACCCCAGAAATGCCTATCTGTGCATGTCCCTGGTATCAATGGCAGGCCTGTGTTCCCATTGGCCAGTCTCAACAGATTTGACAGCTGAATGGTGATATTTGGTGGTTCAGTTCAGTTGCAGACAGCTCTCTGTCTTTACTGCATACATACAGTACATTACATTTAGACTGGCCAATAGGAACACAAGCCTGCCTATGACATATTTTTTTACATCGAAAGAGAAATCCTAAATCAGGAGCATTAACTTAAGTTTTGAGAGAGAGAGAAGAAAAAAAGGTTTGAAAGGAAAATCTATTTTTGAGAGTAAATGTTTTTACTCTTATTGCAAAAATTCTTTATTTGAGAGTAAAATTAGATTTTTGAGTTTTCCCCCGTGGAAACCATTCCAAATGACATCCAAATGTCAATTATTCATAATTACTATTTTATGACAAAAAAATGATCTCAAAACTTTTCTTAAATTCTCAAATAACATCAGTTTTTGCTTCCAGTGTGAAAATTTGTTCTCTCTGATATATTTCTTTTTTTCTCTTTTATTGCCTTTTTTCTTTAATTTAATTAGGACCCAATAACTACATAGATTACATCCCTAAAATTATAAAACTGATAATTCCTTTCGGCCTCTCAATTCAAAATCTGCTATCGCATCAATATATTCAGAAAAGGAAGTGCAGCCTTGCTTGCACAGCAGTTTCAGTTGAACTGTGACAACTGCTCAAACAACATATCCTCGGCATGGACAAGATGACCCCTTCAGAGGCACCTGAGAAAGTGGACACTGGATTGACAGTGGCGTGTGTTTTCCTGGGTCTTTCCTTTCTGGTCGGAGTACCAGGGAATCTGCTGGTCATCTGGACTATCCTGAAACATGTCAAGCAGCGCTTTCACTCTGTGGTACTCATCCTGCACCTAGCTGTGGCAGACATCATGGTCCTCATCACCCTGCCGGTGTGGATATACTCCCTGGTGAACACCTTTGTGTTTGGATTGGTGATATGCAAGGTCTTGATGTGTGTTATCACTGTCTGTATGTATAGCAGCATCTTCTTCATCACCCTTATGAGCATGGAGCGCTATTTAGCCATCTGTCATCCCTTTCTGATGATGCGCTGGAGGACTGAAAAGACTATGAATATATGTATTGCATTTTTGTGGCTTTTTGCACTTCTCCTTGGATTGCCTGATGTTTTAACCCGGACCTTTTACGACGGTGACAACAATGAGCAGTGCTTTCGCATGGAATTTAAAAGCAGCACTACAGAAATCATCCTCCTATGCCTGAAGACTGTACTAGGCTTTGTGTTGCCTTTCATTACGCTTAGCATCTGTTACTGTCATGTTACTGTGAAGCTCAAGAAAATGAATTTCAAGTCAAAACAGAAATCCAAAGTACTAATTCACACCATAGTGCTTGTTTTCTTCTTGTGCTGGTTGCCTTACCACGTCATTAATATCATTGATGTTGTATGCCTTTTAAGGTCTGACCAAGAGTCCGAATGTGTCCCAGAAAGATTAGTCTTTAGCTCTGGAGCCCTGGTTTTTATCAGTAACTCAGTGAATCCTGTATTATACGCCTTCTTCGCCAGGAAATTCAGAGGCAATCTTGGAGAGTCTCGTCTGGTTAAGCTGTTTCAGGAACTTGCATCAAACTCACACAGGCTCAGGGAGCTCGCAGTTCAAAAGCAAAGGAACCAGGAGTCAGCAGAGAAAGGGGTAATGTCTACCTCTTTGCATTAAGAAATGAGGAAAAAATACTGAAATTTTGGAAGAGCTGGGCTAAAAGACATGACTGTCTCCTTTAAAACCAAATTTGAACTGAGATGTTTGAAATCAGTTATTCTCTTTACTTCCACATGGCTGTGCTCTTGCTTTAATACAGAATCAACCAAACTCACCACTAATGTTGAAAATGCTGGCAAGAACTTGTGGTTGTTGCTTAATTTGGTAAATGTCAAAAGTTAACACCATTTTCTGTTACATATATTTTCCTTTATACTAGTATAAGACCTTCTGAAGATTTGTATCCTTTTTTTTTTATTCTGTCTTTCCAGTGTGGTTCTTATTTCAATCAAAAAGTGTCTATTTTTTGCCTTTCACAATGTGCACTTTACACAAAGTAGGACTTCATACAATAAAAGGTTTTAACAAGTGCAGTGAATAAAACATCATCAAAAACCAACAACCCTAAATCCTAGTTGTGTAGTTGTGTGTGAAGACATCAAATGAAGCACAAAAGTTAAGCTGATCAGCTGCTAATGGAAAACACAGTTGACAGCATTTAACATCATTCTGAAGATACTGCGAGAGTTTTTTTTTTTTTTTTAGTTTAATAATAACTTAATAACTTTAACTTAATGGATCTCATATTGGAGAAATGTACCTCTGCATCTTGCTCAGGTACCCAGACTGCAGGCATCGAACCAGGTACTTGCAACTTTCTCAAAGCACAAGTGCACTGCTCTAACCACTAAGCCAACACTACCCCTCAACTCTCTGCATAGAGCCAATCACCTTCTGGAGCAGGAGCCATTGTGCGGCGCCCGGGGAGCAGTGTGGGCTTAAAGGGTCTTTGCTCAAAGACCCAGAGTGGCAGTCTTTGGGAGTCAGGCTTGAACTCAGAACCTCTGGATTACAGGCTGCCCTAACCACTAGGCCGCCACTCCCCTGGACAGAATGCATTATAAAATAATTTTTTAATGCTTTTGGATTTAAGCAAGTCAGTGAAAGCCATCATCTGTAAATACTCAAAGTATGAAATAGGGGTGACCCTTCAAAGGGCATTTTGTTCCAAGAAAAAGAGCATCATAGAGGTAAACAGTGTAATAGTGTGGTTATTTGAGGTTGCTTTAATTTATTTTAGATTAACCTGCACCACCATTGCTGAGTGACTGAAAAAACATCTGAAAGTTTTAAAAGGCCTTTCTAAAGTACGTATGAAAACCAGATTTTGAATTGCTCTGGAAATAATTCTGACCTTTCTGTTCATAATAATGAGCCAAATTTGGTCCAGATTGATGTGACCAGCAGTGAAGAATAACTGAATGCACCACATAGAGGGGAGCAACAATGACTTTTTTATGACAAGCTAAGTTTTCTATTGTTTTTTCTCTTAAAAGACAATAATAACTAAACTTTGAAAATAGATTCTTTGTATTTAGTCTTAATCTGCTTTTAAAATGTCTGTAATGATCTGATAAATCTGTATGACAACTAAGTAAAAGAGCAAATATTTTATTTCTTAAATATTTTATGCTAGTACTATATATCTAAAGTGAGTTTCACTGAATTTCCTGAAAAACCTTGTCAGCAGCTTTAAGACTTTTGTCTTTATTCCATTCATTTAGGTTAAGCTAAAAAAAATTTTAGAAAGCATTGAGCAATTTCTTTTAAAAGTGTGATTTCATGTAAATTCTTTATCTTTAAAGCTCATTTATGGCCAGAAGCAAAGAATGAACAGAAGATGCATGTCTTAAAAAGCCATGTCAGGAAACCTTGTTCCTTTGCAGTCTTTAAATAAAGGGGAAGTGAAAACTTAGCTTTTTTTCCCCAACCAGACACCACAGTCAGCACATATACGCTGGGAGGATGAACGACTCACATCAACCTATTTTGTTTTCGGAAGAAATGGCCCCAGAGGAATTCGATGGTGGAATAGTGGTGGCGTGTTTGATCCTGGGTCTGTCCTTTTTGGTTGGCGCTCCGGGCAATTTGCTTGTGATCTGGACCATCCTGAGGCATGTGAAGCAGCGCTCGCACACGGTGGTTCTCATCTTGCACCTAGCCGCTGCAGATTTAGTGGTCCTCATTACCCTCCCTCTCTGGATCTACTCCCTGGCTAAGTCCTGGGTCTTTGGACTGACATGCTGCAAAGCCATGGTGTTTATGATCACTGCCTGCATGTACAGCAGCGTTTTCCTCATCACGCTCATGAGTGTGGAACGTTTCGTCGCTGTGCGTTATCCATTTACTTCTGCAGTTTGGAAAAGGAAAAAAGCGCTGAATAAAGTCCTGCTTGCTCTTTGGTTGGCTGCGTTCCTTTTCAGCATACCCATCATTCCTACTCAGATTCTTGAGGAGCACGAAGGTACGGCACACTGCCTGTATCGTGAGTATACTTCTGACACTCAGGAGCTAGTGTGTCTGCTGCTGGAGACGGTGGTGGGCTACCTGCTGCCATTCACAATCCTCCTGGTCTGTTATGGGTGCTTGTGCAGCCGCATCACTCAGATGACCTTTAGGTCCAAACGAAAGTCCACTGTCCTGATTGCAAGCGTGGTAGTTGGATTTGCCATTTGTTGGACACCACATCAAATAGGAAACATCATCTCCATCATCATCCTGGCCATTGAAGGCTCATCCATGAAAACAGCAGAGAACCTGGAAAGTGTTCGACAAACCATGACTTTCATAGCAGGAGCCATGGTCTTCATCAGCAGCAGCATTAATCCTGTCCTCTACATGTTTGCGGCCCGCTCCTTCAGGGAGTCGCTGCGTGACACTGGCATCCAGAAGCTCTTCCGCCACATCTCCAGCACCTCCCCGGGTGAGGGGACCAGAGAGGTGTCCTTTGTATCCAGGAGACAAAGCAATCAGACCACAAGCTCTCAGTGTGAGACTAAATCAAAAGATCAAATGGATATGTATTGAAATTGAGACGTCCTCTCACACTGAAAAGTGTTATATATGTCTGTGTGTTGCTGTTTGTAATGCACTATTTTACTGAAAGAAATCTGTTCTAAATGAAACCTCAACTGCTTCAGAACAAAACTGATATATATGATGTCTGCTATCTCTTATCATGTGCATTTTACATTTTTTCTGTTAATTTATTTATGAATCTTTATGTATCATATATTCTTTATCCCTTGTAAAATGCTTTTTACTATTATGAGCGTTACATTTATGTTAGTCAAAACAATTTTTAATAAAGCCTTGTTTTTCAAATGAGGTGTTTGTAATTGTTTCATTTCATGTTACTGGAAAAAGAAAAAAAACTGCTACTTAACTTCTGAGAAACAACATTGACTAAAAGTGGTACTTTTGTTTGTTAATCCTGTGGTTGCCATTGATACAAAATAACTTCATGTTTGAACTGCACTGAAATGAGTAAGGTCGGTAACTGCGACCTATCAGTGTAAGCATCTTGTGTCACAATGGGAATTGCTCACTTTATGCTTTAGCTTTTATTTGTTAAAAAAATATAATAAAATTTCCTCTCTCACAGCTAGGTTTTCCACTTCTCATGTTATGCACTCTTCCTCTCCTACATGTCTTCAGGAAGATGACTTGTGATCAGTGGACTATTTTAATATCTGTTACCTTCTGATAGCATGATTCAGGATATATTCGAAGATATCTAATTGATTGCTCTTGTTTCATGTTAAATTGCTTTCATGAGTGATTTTCTTTTTAAACTTATGACAAAAAAGCAAATATTTGGCCATGTATCCCACAACACAGTCATGCTTTCAACTTCCCCACACTGAAAGATTGCCAAATGAAAAGTGCATGTTTCCTTTGTTGACATGCAAAAAAGAGGAATTGTGTCCTATAGTTGGTCTGTATTTTATAACCCAGAAAATGAACCTCGGACAGCGAAAAATGCGCTTTGAACAAAATCGTTTTAGGTATTTAAAATTACTTGTTTACCTGACAAAGTACTTTGGTCTATTTGTTGTCATGAATACAAAAAACAGTCTGTTTCTCTGTAGTCCATTCCTCTTTTTCACAATAAATGAATAGACCTGTAGATGGCAGCAGTAACTCTTGAGGACATACAAGTGTTTAACATTTCCTTTTTGAGTTGCCCTTATATTTGGCTAAGTTATAAATTAAAAGTTATCATTTTAACAAATTTCTGACAAACAATATGCTCCTTTTGGAACATTATTTAAAACAATTTCACTCCTCTGTGCAGGTTTACCAGAGACAGTAAAACTGTGTGTCAAAATGTCTTTGATTGCAATAAATCTTGAATCCAGTAAATATAGAAAAAAATCCCTTTTCAATTTTGAAAAAGCTTAACCTTGAAATCTCTGAATGGATTGAAACCTCTTTATGAAGCCCCTCTTTAACTCTATACACCCCTAAAAGTTCATTGAAACCTATGGAACAAGCATTCCTAGTTCTTCTCAGGTTCAGGTTACAATAAAGATGTTTTCTTTTTTTATTTATCCAGCAGGAAAATAGAAAAAGTATATCTAAGCTCTATTAAAATACCCTGCACAGTAGGGCAGGATCCTGCAGAATTAGCTACAATAAAGGATTTGACTAAAATAAAAGTGTTAATACATTATTTATCTACCAGAAATTCATTCAAACTCCACCCCTATCATTACACACAGCCAAACCCTCCTTGTTGTAATCAACCATTGGATACAATCACTCCACTGTGAAGTCAAGAGCTTTAACCAGTAAAATATATATTTCCCTTCCAGTGTCCGACTTTATCAATGTGCCACTTCATCAATGCCTATTAAAATTTCTCATAGGTTTTCTTAATTCTAATGAATTGAAGGCTAAATACACTGATCCAATTACAATAACTGATTATTGGTGATTGGAGATATTTTTGACTCTGACAGCGGAAAAACACAGCAAGGCAAGGGGTGTGACCAAAGTGAGATCACACAACAACAAAGATGCCAACAGAGACATGCTAGGAATTTTCTTGTTAAATACGGAAGCAACATGTACTGTAAACATAGTCTGAAATCTAAATAGTTATGTAGTTACTAGATATGTTCCAAAATGCTTCTTTATGCGGTTACCTTTGAACCCTTTAAAGAATTCTGCTTTATGTATCTATACAGAATTTATAGGTATATATAATAATCAAACATTATAACATTAATTTTTTTGGTTCCTTTCATAGCTGGGGCAGAATGTATAAAAAGGAATTTATACTTATTATTTCTGTTAAATGCACTGATCAAAGAAAATACTATAATTGTCTATACTTCTTTCCCTTTTTTGACAAATAATCTTGCTCACTTTGTGACTCCATGAAGGTAAATGTCATCTAACATGGGCTTCAAGCTGGAAAGCTTCCCTTTTTCTCTGTCTGGTAATCAGACTGGTTCAGCTAGAAATAGCGAGTCAGCACACTTGGAAGGAGACACAAGAAATCACTCCTGAGACCAGGGATTAAAATGAGTGAAGGGAAAAAAACCTGAGAAAATGTGAGAAGAGAAGGGAGTGTCAGCAGAAACAAAACAAGACATTTTGGGCACAGGGCCAGAGGGGAGCCATAGAAAACTCCAGAAAGATAGAAAGGACCTGTAAGCTTGAGCCAATTATTTGTTTAGGGATTATGTTTAATGTTAATCTTCTACAAAAAAGGGATAAAACTTACAAATACTCCAGAAACTCCAAATTTAGATATCTGAATGTTTTTTTCCATTTATGAAAGATTTTTTTTTTTTTTATTCACCTATTTTATTTAGGCAAGGAACGTTTCGGTACAAAGACAATTCAAAATCCTTTACCTGAATTAAACTATGAAAACAGAAGAAACATAATTTCAAAATAAAGGTAATTAAAAATAAAGACATGATTAAAAAAAAGCCATTGCAGACTACAAAAGATTTATTAAAGGAGATACAACCTGATATTGTGTGCAATCGTCTGATAGTGCCTTTAAATTCATGTTTAATCACTTTAAGAAGAAAAAAAATGTAGATCCAGTGGCAGCACCAGAGAAAACTGGGTTTGTGAGTGGATGAAGGGGTGGGGGTCATGAAGGTCCAATTAAATGTGTTGGTGCAAATATCAGTAATATATAGATATGAGTCGCATTTTCTAGTAGTATTAGTATTTACTAAACCTTAAACATGTAATTATTTTTAATGATTCGACAAAAAAAAAAAAAAAAACTCAGCTGAAACAACCCTGATGTTATATTATATTTCTACTCTTTTCAAGAGTGGAAAAAATTACATAGAACATCATCCTCAACCATTCTTAGAGGCTCATCTTATGTCCCGTGATTAGTATTAATAATTCAGTTATTAATATTGTTAATATATTATATTGGACATGTTGCACACATGTTTTTTTTTTTTTTTTTTATAAAACTGTGTTCTTTATTTTGAACATAATGTTACATGTAACACATATTGTTTAGAAACAAAGGAGTTAATTTATTAATGGTTCATTAGTGATCAATTGCTTTGGTCAATTTCTTGATACAGCACTTTTAAACATATAGAACTGAAGACTTACTGGCCCCATTAGATGTTTTACATGTTTAAGAAGTTTATGAAACCAAAAATCAGTTTATGAAACCAAACTTTTTTAAATCTAAAGGATATTTTACTATGTTTAGCTGCTTTAAATGCTTTGGGTTTTTTTTTTTAGCTCAGATAAATAACCATCTGCTCTCAGTTCTTCATGGTGATCCTACAGATTCTTGTTTAAGTAAACCTCTATTACATTTCCTGCAGTGTGATATTAGTGAACAGCTGTAACTTAAAATCACCCAATTCTGGGTTGGGTCAGTATTCAGGTTTTACCTCAATTCTAGCATAGGTTATATTGCTTCCAGCAGTCCCTGTGCAGTTCTGAAAATGGCCTGGTACTCTGTGGGGGTAATGAATGAGGTAGGCTTACCGGCCCGGGTTGCAAGTCTGGCTCTAATTGAAAGTACATTTTTTAGGCTGCTTTTCCTAACGAGTCATAGTCATATTATGGTGGTGCAGCTAAACAAAGTGGTTCACTTTGTTACACTTGCCTGCGGCTTGTTGATAGTGCTTCTTTTCCAGCCCAGCTTATATGCAGCCTGTAATAGGACCAATCAAATTCCACATAACAGTTTCAAGGGTTATCATTTTTCTACAAAATGTGAAGTACAGATCCAGCACCAGTTTGCCCAGCACCACACAGAGTTGGCAATAATGCTGTGATTTGATCTGACTTTGGATCAGATAAACAACCAACCAAACATGTCCATATTAAGGGGGCACTTAAGACCCAGCGCCAGTTCCATTTTTCACGCTCCTTATTTTTTCTCACGGGGTACGATTTAGAATTTGACTTGTGTGTATACACGTTCATTGGGATGTAGCTTTAGCAACATTAGCCATTTGCTGTGGGTTTTTTTTACCAAGGCAAATTGGTGAAAGAGAAACTGGTATGATGAAACCAAGGGGGGCTAATGTTAGCACCCTTCCATTGATCAAAGAGAGGGACCAAAATCATGCAAAGCCCGTTTTGATCTTTCTGGTTTCAACAACATAGCAGCACAGAAAAAAAGCAAAGCGACTTCCATACTCTGGATCTTGTGGCAGGTTCTAACTGAAGCCTGAACCCAAATTATTATGTTTTAAGAAGAAAAAGTAGATTTTTAGACTGTGCAATGAATCTAAAATATATGAATGTTCAAGTTTTATCATAACATTATGGAAAATAATGAACTTTTTCACAATATGCTTATATTTTGAGAAAGACCTGTATTGGCTTTTAGAGACTATGTGACCTTCAAGATGTTACTCTTTGCTGCTGAGTTCTATCGGGGGTCCTTTTTGAACCTTGTTTTATTCACTTGTTTTAACCATAAAGAGTACTTAACAGAGATGGTCCTTTGTAAATCAAGACATTAAGCATGACTGATAACAAACACACTTGTCGCTCTTTAACTTAAAAAAAAATATGTTGCAAAAATAAAAAAAATCAACAGATGTATATAAGATCTAATAATAGATTTAGGGATTTCTCAAACTAATGCTTATATTTCTGAAATTGTCTGATATATCAGCCAAAAAACAAATATTATAATATATCGAGGATGCTGACAGAAATACACCATTTCTATTTGCTTCTGTTTTAAGTTTATGTGGGTTGATAAGAAATGGGTCAGTTATTCTCATACATATTGTCATTGACTTATGCTCTCTGTTTGAGTAATATCTGTCTTTTTTTCATAATCCAACACTACAAAGTAATTCATAAAATTATGTATGATTTATGCTGATCTGTTAATACTCAAAGCTGCAATACCTGAAAAAAGGAAAGGTTTCATGCGGACAGCCCTAATTAGACTTGATGTGTTAGACTCTAAACAGTCCCGACGGCTTAAAGCACAGGTGCATTTTAATTCAATGCCAATATCATTGATAAATTCTACTATTTCAGTAATTGAAATACAAAGAAAACTTATATCTTTTAAAAAGTGGATAGACAAAGAACAATATATCTTAAACTTCTATGTT